TGGCGACGGCGACGACGACGATGAAAATGCTCTCGAGCCATTCGCGCGCGCGGGAGGCGCGGACGCGGTGCGTGCGCGCGTGGAGATGGAAGAATGCGCGATCCCGCGACGATGCGCGTGCGTCGACGCGGCGAGGGATTATTCGCGGTCACGCGGTCGCGCGGTCGCCCGAAGGGTAGAGGGGGGACGACGGCACGCGTGCGGGGGTTGGGTGGACGTCTCGGGGGGGGCGGGGACGGAGACGCGGAACGGTGGATAGATTCATGGATGGATGGATTCATGGTTGGATGGATTCATGGATTCATGGATGGATCGGGGACTGACGAGACGAACGACGACGACGCGCGCGTAGGTTGAGCGAACGACGCATCGCGCGCGGGCGGGACGCGCGGGCGCGGGTCGTGACGCGAATGGATGCGTCGGCGGCGGAAGCGCCGATGCGGTCGCCGAACGCGATCGCGAATACGAAAACCGTGGCGGCGGTCATCTTGGGCGGCGGCGCCGGGACGCGACTGTATCCGCTCACGAAGTCCCGAGCGAAACCGGCGGTGCCGATCGGTGGGGCGTACAGATTGATCGATGTGCCGATGAGTAACTGCTTGAACTCGGGGATCTCAAAGGTGTACATTTTGACGCAGTTTAACAGCGCGTCGCTCAACCGACACTTGGCGCGGACGTACAACTTTGGAAACGGCATCATGTACGGCGGGAACGGTTTCGTGGAGGTTCTCGCGGCGACGCAAACCCCGGGACAGGGAGGGAAGGAGTGGTTCCAAGGAACCGCCGACGCCGTTCGTCAGTACTCGTGGTTGTTCAACGACGTGAAGAATAAGGATGTCGAGGACATCGTCATCTTGGCGGGGGACCACTTGTACCGCATGGATTACATGAAATTCGTCGAGGCGCACCGGGAGTCCAACGCCGACATCTCCGTCGGTACGTTACCGATCGACGAAGCGCGCGCTTCGGATTTTGGGTTGATGAAGATCGATTCCACCGGTCGCATCGTTGAGTTCACCGAAAAGCCCAAGGGCGACGCGCTGCAGGCGATGAAGGTTGACACGACGGTGCTCGGTTTAACCGCGGATGAGGCAAAGGAAAAGCCCTTCATCGCCTCCATGGGGATCTACGTCTTCAAGAAGAGCGCGCTGGTGAAGTTTTTGGAAAAGGATTACCCCGAAGATAACGACTTCGGCGGTGAAATCATCCCCAGAGCCGCGGCGGACGGCGCCAAGGTGCAGGCGTACTTGTTCAACGATTACTGGGAGGACATCGGAACCATGAAGAGCTTCTTCGAGGCCAACTTAAACTTGGCGAAGGATCCGCCGAACTTTGAGTTCTACAACGCCGAAGCGCCGATCTACACCTCGCCGCGGTTTTTGCCCCCGGCCAAGGTGGAGCGGTGCCACGTGAAGGAGTCCATCATCTCCCACGGCGCGTCCCTGGCGGATTGCCAAGTCGAGGAGTCCATCATCGGCTTGCGTTCAGTCGTAAACAAGGGATGTAGGATCAAGCGCGCGATGATCATCGGCGCCGATTTCTACGAGAGCGATGAGAAGAAGGCGAGTCTGCTCGCCTCGGGTGAGGTTCCGGTGGGCATTGGCGAGGGAACGATCATTGAAAACGCCATCATCGACAAGAACGCGCGCGTGGGGAAAAACTGCGTCATCACCAACGCCGCCGGCGTGGAAGATCTCGCGGATGAAGAAAGAGGGGTCTTCATTCGTAACGGTATCATCACCATTCTCAGAAACTGCACCATTCCGGACGGCACCATCATCTAACGCGCCGAATCGACGAAGGACGCGCGAAGACGACGACGGATGACGCGACGCGTCATCCGTCGCTCCCGCGAGACGCAGACAGAGAGTAAAGTCATCACGACCCGCCATGTAACGCAAGCGAGTGTAAAAAATCGCCAAATCACACGCACCGCCCGCGCCCGCGTCCACACCGACCGCGTTCGACCTCTCGCGTCTTCCCCCCCGCGTCCCGAACACCCGCATTCGCCCCATCCGTCTCCACTTCCCCACCCCTTTCGATTCAACCTCTCGAGTCCCATCGCGCGTCCCGACGACGACGTCACCGCGGGCATGCGCGACGGCTTTCGCGACGTCACCGTCGAGCGCGCCGCCTTTCTCGCGTGCGCGCTCGGCTTGACGCTCTGGGGCTACCCGCTCGGCGTCACCGCCGTGGCCGTGCTCTCGCCCGAACAGCTCCAGCGCTCCGTCAAGGGCGTCGGCGCGTTCGACGTCGAGACCGCCGGCGCGCTCGTGGCGTCGCACGGCGCGGGGGCGCTGCTGGGAGCGATGGCGTTGGTGACGCCGCGACCGGGCGGAGGCGCGTCGTGGGCGGACGCGAGCGGACGGAGGAAGATGTTGCGCGCGTCGGCGGTGATTTACGGCATCGCGAGCCTAGGGATGAGCGTGACGCCGATCGGAGGGGTGGGTGTGAGGAGCGTGGGGGGAGAACGGTTGGCTATCGGGTGGTTTATGTTTTTTAGAACGATGTACGGGTTCGCGTGCGGGACGTGCTTCCCGACGACGTACGCGTACGTGGGAGAGACGACGTCGACGAAGAGTCGGGGGAGGATGTTGGTCGCGTTGGGGGTGGTTGAGATGATCGGGGAATTGTTCGGTGATTTCACTGGGTTGGCGCTCGAACGCATGCGCGGGGCGTGGAGGATTTTGTTAGCGCTCCCGATGCCCGTCGCGTTCGCGTATTACAATCTCGTGAACACGATTCCGGAGAGTCCGAGGTGGTTGGTCTTGAGGGCGACGAACGAGGCTTCGGGACGAGTCGGATCGAAGACGGACGCGGAGACGGGCGGGGTGACGCGACGGGATGAGAGCGCGTGGACGTACGAGGATTTAGATTTGACCGAGGCGAGACGCGCGGAGAGCATATTTCGCAACGATCGTTCCACGTCCGTCTCCGACGTGTTTTTCCGGCGAAGGAAAAAGATAGATGGCGGTGGTGCCATCTCCGAGGTCTTCAGGGTCCCAGGGGAGGGCGAGCAGAGCCAGGCGTGTCGCGACGAAATCGAGCGCGAATTGCGCTCCATCGCCGACGTCATCATCAAGGCTCGAAAAGAGACTAAGAAGCACTCGTGCGCGGCGATCGCGAACGCGCCGTCGACGAGACGCGCGATGACGATCGCTTTCGGCTTGACGGCGTTCAACGCCCTCAGCGGCGCCCCGGCGTTGAGCTTTTTCGCCAAACACGTGTTCGAGATGACGGGTCACTCACCGACGATCGCGACCTCGATGACGCTCGGATACGCCTTCGCCAAGCTCGCAGCGACGGTCGCGGTGTGTTTGACTTTGGAATACGTCGGACGTCGTCGCATGCTCACCGTCGGCGTCGGCATCCAAGCCCTGGCTTGCGTCATCTTGGCGTTTGTCTTTGACGGCGTCGCCTGGATCGAGGACCCACGACACGCCGTGAGCTTCCAAATCCTCTCCGGGTTCCTCGCCACGACCGCAGACTTTTGTGTTTACGCCTGCGGCATCGGTCATGCCCTCGGATTTTGGGCCTTGGCCGTGCCGCTGAGTAACGAGGTGTGCCCGCTTCGCGCGCGGGCGATGATTTTAGCCATCAACTCGGCGTTCAATTGGGCCCTCCAAACGCTCGCCATGAGATTCTTCCCGGTCATGATGAAGCACCCCGGGCTGAGTTACACGTTTGGCTCCTTCGCCTTCTGTCTCATCACCTCTCTGGCGTTCATCCGAGCGTTCGTTCCGGAGACCAAAGGCCGAACGCTCGAGCGCATCGAGACGGCGATGACGGAGGAACACACCCTGAGCGCCGTCGTTCGACGCCTCGCGCGGGAGCGCGACGGAGAGGATAAAATGATCGAAACCGCGAGTTTACTCGGCGACGACCGCGATTTGACCTACGTCGACCGACGGATGACTCGGTGACGGACCGACGGCGACGTTCCGCGCAAACTACGGAAACGTGTACAATATGACCATGAGCCGTCGACACCCGCACCAAGAACAAACACATAGCCCGAAACGACGTACAATACGTCACATGCCGCGACGGGGCCTCGCCGAGCCGCCAGAGCATGACTCGCGCGCGCTCCTCCCTCGCGTCTCCGCGCGTGCGCGCGCGCGAGGGCTTTGGACGCTCGCGCGCGACCGCGCGCGCGCGCCGACATCGCGTCGCCGCCGCGCGAACGTCGAGCGACGACGCGCGGGTCGTCACGATTCGACATTCGGACGTTTTGAGAACGAAAGCCGCGCAGGGGACGCCCCGGACGACGCCGCGCGATTTCGCGCCGAGAGAGACGCGCGTGGACGCGCGCGGCGTCGTGTGTGATTTCGGTCGCGGCGTGGAGCGAAGAGCGATGGAACATCCGACGATGTCGATGGCGGCGGCGGCGGCGGCGGCGGCGGCGGCGACGCTTCTCGCGCGACGGCTCGTGTCATCGGAATCGACGCGGAAGAAGACGGTGGTGCTCGGGGCGGGGTTCGCTGGGTGTGAATTGGCGAGAGATTTGGCGTCGTCGCGAGACGTTCGTGTTTTGGACGTGAAGGAGTATTTCGAGTACGTTCCGGCGACGCCGGCGGCGCTCGCCGGGAACGCGCCGTTGAGAAGAATCTCAAACAGCAATAGGTTCGCGAGTAAGCGAGAGCGGTCCTTGACGGTGCCGTATAAGAAGATTTTACCGCGCTCGGTGGGGTTCACGTGCGTGCAGAGTGGGGAGATTAAGGTGTGCGAGGATCACGTCGTCGCCGACGGCGAGCGCATCGATTACGACGAGCTCGTCGTCGCCACTGGGTCGAGATACGGGAATGCGGCGCTCAAGGCGAGACCAGGAAGTGAGCGGGCGCGAACGCGCTCGGGAAGGAGGGAGCAGATCGCCGAGGCGCGGGCGATGTTGGAGGGTGGGAAGACGGTTGTCATCGTCGGCGGCGGCGCCGTCGGCGTCGAGCTCGCGAGCGAGCTCGGCGCTCGGGCAAAGGAGTTGAACACCGGCGCGAAGGTTTTACTCTTACACAACGGCCAGCGATTGCTCGATGGGATGCCCAAGGCGGTGGCGCAGTACGCCGCGGACGTGCTCGTTCGCCAAGGCGTGAGCGTGTACCTCGGGCAGACGTATAATCGTATCGGGACGACGTTCGTGGGACGAATGAACGAAAATGTCATCAAATCCGATCACTACGTCATGTGCGTTGGGTCTAAGCCGAACACGGAGTACCTCAAGCAAACCGGGGTGGAGGACGAGGAGACGATCAACGTCCCGCTCGACGCGCTCGGCCGGGTGCGCATCGACGAAGGTACGCGCCAAGTCATCGGGTACGACAACGTCTACGCCGTAGGTGACTGCGCGTGCAAGCTTCCTGATCAATCATTGGCGTCGTACGCGCACTGGGAGGCGGAGTACGTCGCCAAGCGCATCGCGTGCGATGGAGACGAACGCAAATTGAGACAACTAGGCTTGTACGCGGTGCCGCCGCGCATTGTGGCGGTATCGCTCGGTCCCCGAGACGGCGTCGTCTCCTGGGGTGACGCCGTCGTCGCTCGCGGAATTTTTGCCGCTATGATCAAGTGTTTGGTGCAGTTCTGGTTCGTGCGCTTCTTGCCGGCGCCGTACGCCATCATGAAGCGCTTACCGAGCCTGAAGAACAAACCGCCGGCGAGCGTAATCTTACTCGCACCGCCCACCATCTCTGCCGCGCCCGCGAGTTAGATCGAATCAGACGAGGTGACACCACCGATGTGTCATGGACGGCACGGCATTCCACGCAACATCTCGCGCGTAGTTCGAAATATCAAGCGCATCGATACCACCGCGAATCGTCGGTTCATTTTCGCCAAATTGGGAGACGAAGGGACGCGCGGCGAAATCCGCCTCAGAAACGCACGCGCGCGCGCGCGCGCGCGCACTCGCGCGCCGCCGACGAATTAATATTCACACTCGCGACGCGCACGAATCGCCGCTCGCGTCAATCTCGTCGCTCGCGATCGACATGCCGCAGACGTGCACGGTGGAGAGCCCGGCGCTGGACATTGAGGCGAGCGAGCTCTGGCGGGCGCGAACGACGGAGGATTTCATGGCGTGCGAACGCGAGGTTTTCAACGACGTCGCCTCCGCGATCGTGCTCTACGAACGTCGAGACCACGAGGCGGGCGCATCGTCCACGGCGCGATACGTCGTGCGAACGCGCACGCGGGTGACGATGCCGTACCTGGCGCGCAAGGCGCTCGGGTCGCGGAGCGGGGCGAGCGTGGACGTCTTCGACGATTACGTCGTGGATGAGATTCAGGGCACGGCGCCATTTTTATACGAGGCGTGCTTACGGTCGTACACCACGCACCTGTCGCCCTCGAACAGCGTGATTCGGGGCGTCGTGCGGTGCAAGTCTGTGGACGGCGGCGCTCGATGCGAGCTCGCGGTGCGCGTCGAGTGCGCGGTCAAGGCGTCGGGACCGTTCGGGAGCGCGATCGAGCGAGCGATGATTGGGACGATGCGAGAAAAGTTGCACGCCTACCCACGGGTGGTGGAGCTCTACAAGACTAGGAGGGCGTTGGTGGAGACGCGCCGCGCCGCGCGCGCGTTGGCGCGGGCGAAATCCACCGAAGGCGAAGAATTTCATTCCGTGATTAACACGAGCGACGACGAGTCGGCGTACGAATCCGACATCGGTGGCGACGCCGCTTTACGTCGTCACGGCAACGCCGAGACGTCACGCATTGGTGATTCCACCGCCGACGCGCCTGATTCGGTGACTGTAACCGCGGACGCGAGTCGCGCGTGTTGCGTCCCGCGACGCGGCTCAAAGACTAGAAAAATCCCATAGCCGCCACTTTCGAAGGCACCTCGGCGAAACGTTTCATCTTGAACGGCGCTCGCGCATCCTCCGTCGTCGATGTCTTTGCGCTCGACGCGGCTCGAGGCTCGAGGCTCTCGTGAGACGACGCCCGCGCGCGCGCGACGCGCGCGCGCTCCATCCGTCTCGCCTCGATCCACGCGTCGGCGTACCGATGCTCGATGACATCCGCGATGGATTCCGGCGCATCGCGCCATCGCGTTTCGTCTTCCGATCGCATCGCGCTCGGTCGACCGAACGTGAGCGTGTCGTCAATCTTCGTCGGTCTCGCGCGTCGCTCGCCCGAGCGCAACAGCGTCGGACGTTTCGCCGCGCGTCGAAACGCCCGCACCTGTTTACTCGTCACGCACTTCCCTTCCGACGTCGCGCGCTTGTTCATCGCCATTAAATCAATCCCGCCCGTGTACGCATTCCTCACGCGCGCGCCCACCGCGGGATCGCGCCAGACCAAGGCGTCCCCCGCGGTTTCGCTCGGCGCCGCCGCCGCGCGGCGCGCCGGCGCGCCGCCGCGCGCGCCGTCGGGAGCGAAGATCATCGTCTCGCGCGCGCGTCCGACGTCGGCGCGATTGTTAATGAGCGCGTTCATCGCCATGCTCGGACGATCGAATCCGATTCGACCCTCCATCGCGCTCGCGCGCCGAGATGTGAGGCGTCCGTCGTCTTAATTTAGCGCCATCCGTCGCCCGTTCCGTCGCCGCGCCGCCCTACGACTCCGGCGACGCCCGAGCGCTGGTTTTCGCCTTGGCCCTCGCGAGCCATCGTAAGTTGTTCTTTCCCGTCGGTCGCGGCGCCGCCGTCGACACCGTCGACGGCCCGCGTCCGCCGCCGACGCCGACGCCGACGCCGACGCCGCCGACGCCGTCGACGCCGCGACGCCGACCCCGACCCCGACCCCGACCCCGACCCCGTCGCCGCCCGTCCCCGACATTTCCGACATTTCCGACCTTTCCGACGTCCCGACCCCCCCCCCAAACGCCCCACCGCCCGTGGTCGTCGACCATCCGCGTCCCGAACCGCGCGTCCATCCGTCGACGACGATTCCGCACCCGTCCCGCGTCTCGTCAATCACCCCCCCCCGCGCGTCCTGCGCCGTCACCCCACGACGAACCCGTTCGCGAAACACCCTCAGCGCCTCGACGTCGACGTCGTCCCACATCGCCGCGACCTCGATCGCCGCCGTCGCCGCCGCCGTCGCCGCCGCCGCCGCCTCGACCGCGTCGACCGCGTCGCACGCCTCGCGCACGCGCGCCGCGCACCTCTCGCTCGGCACCGCGCGACACGTCGGACACCGCAACGCCAACCCCCGATCGAGCATCGCGCGCCAACACCGCGCGTGGCACCCGTGCGCGCACGCGTCCGCGCTCGCCCGCGTCCCCGGCGTCGTCTCCCCGCACGCCCCGCACGCCACACGCTCCGCCCGCGCGTTCACGACCTCCACGACGTCACGGATGCGTTCAAAAACCACGACCGACGCGCCCTCGTCCTCCCCAGCGTCCGCGACGGCGCGCTCGAGCTCGCGGGCGATCTCATCGAATGATTCTCTCGCGAGCCCGATCGCGTGCTCGAGCCCCCACCGCGCGCGCGCGCCGTGCGTGTGGACGCACGCGACGTCGACGCGGGCGTAGATCGACCCCGTGGCGTCCCGTCGCGGGACCACGGTCAAGCGGGCGACGGTGGCGTCGCCGATGGTGTCGATGGTGAATGCGTCGGTGGATTCGTACGTCGCGCGGAGCGCGTCGAGGTCGGCGCGTGACATCGTGGGAAGGCGCGCGCGTCGCGTGGACGCGCGCGGGCGACGCGCGCGAGCGCGCGCGCGCGTCGGGGGGTGGACGATGTGTGACGGACGACGGCGATGTGACGATTGTGAAAAATGGCGTCATCAATGTGACGAATCTCGAAAATGCCATCGGCATCACCGTGAGACGTCGTCTCGAAAACGCCGTCGTCATCACCGTGAGAATGACGTCGTCATCACCGTGAAACATCATCTCACAAATGACATCGTCATCACCGCGAGACATCCTCGAAAATGGCATCGACGTGAAACATCACATCAAAAGTATCATCACCGTGAAACATCATCTCGAAAATGACATCGTCATCACCGCGAGACGTCGTCGAAAACGGCATCGACGCGAAACACGCGTTGGCGCGCGTCCCCGGGGACGCGCCGTCTCGACGCGCGCACGCGCGCGCGCACACTTTTCCGAGCACGCGCGCGCGCGCACTTTTCCAGTCACACTTTTGTAGGGTTTATGTAGGGTTTCGTTTTTGGCATATTACGGGTTATTTTCATTAAATATGCACGAGAAGAACACGTAACGCGATGGACGTCACGCGTCGGCGATTTCAACGGGCGACGTCTCGAAAAAACATCAACGCACATCGAGGGTTTAGATGACGAATCAGCACTCGTGAATGACGTCAAAAAAAGTGTGCGCGCGATCGGTGCGTCACACCTTTTCGTGATTGAACACGGCGTGGTCGTCCCACGCGCGTCACCGCGCGCGTGACGCGCGTGCGCTCGGCCTCGATCACGCCTCGACCCGAGGGGTGCGCGTCTCTTCGAGTGGGCGTCGAAATCCTTCGTGGGGTTGTGTGTGTACGTACATCGGCTTTTCATATACCAATATACTGTATACACGTATACATATATTGTATGTACGAAACCCACTGTGTGACTGACACACCCAGGGTTCATATGTGTGTACATACATAGTCTTATCATATACCAATATACAATACACGTATACATATATTGTATGTACGAAACCCGATGTGTGACACCACCGGGCGACGCCGCGCCGACCCCCGTGGATGGGCGCACTATGTGTACGATGATGGGTTCAAAACACACACAGTATGGCGACCCCCCCGCCGCCGCCACCGCACACGTCGACGCCGATGGCGACGACGCCGCGCGCGTGGACGACCACCGCGAGCGCCCGCGCGCGCGCGCGATCGACCGCCGATCTCGCTCGCGCGCGCGCGCGTCCACGACCGACGCGCGAGACGGTGGTGCGCGCGCGAGACGGGAATGATGATGACGACGACGACACCGATGGGGGCGTCGACGCGCCCTCGCGAAAGGTCTACGTCGAGACCTACGGGTGCCAGATGAACGTGAACGACACCGAGGTCATGCTCGAGGTGTTACGCGCGCGTGGGTACGACGAGACCACGGAGGCGACGTCGGCGGATGTGATTTTGATCAACACGTGCGCGATTCGGGACAAGGCGGAGGCGAAGATTTGGCAGCGCTTGGCGTATTTTCGATCGATCGGTTCGATGAAGAAACGTCGCGCGCGACCGGTCGTCGGGGTGTTGGGGTGCATGGCGGAGCGGGTGAAGGAAAAGTTGCTCGAGGCGGATCGATTGGCGGACATCGTGGCGGGGCCGGATGCGTATCGGGACTTGCCGAATCTCATCGACGCCGTGCGCGGGACGGGGGCGAAGGCGATGAACGTGCAGTTGTCGGTGGAGGAGACGTACGCGGATATTATTCCGGTGCGAGAGGTTGGTACGCATTCGGCGTTCGTGACGATTATGCGTGGGTGCGATAACGCGTGCGCGTTTTGCATCGTGCCGTACACGCGCGGACGCGAACGGTCGAGAGATTTGGCGAGCATCATGTACGAGATTCGTTCGTTGAGCGAACGAGGGATCAAGGAGGTGACGTTGTTGGGGCAAAACGTCAACTCGTACGCGGGAGACGTCACGAGCGCGACGACGAGGGATTTCTTGAGTCAGCTCGTGGGGGAAGACGTGGACGCGGTGGAACTCGTCGCCAACGCGTCGAGCGCCGGTTTGGCCGGCGCGCAGGGCTCAGCCTTCGTCGGCTACGCCGATGGGTTCAAGTCTCGGTACGATCCCGAGCGTAAGCGCGAGGGCACGATTCAGTTTGCCGAATTGCTCGACAAGGTGGCGAGCGTCGATCCGGAGATGCGCATTCGATTCACGTCGCCGCATCCGAAAGATTTCCCGGATGACGTCCTCAGAGTGATTCGCGATCGGCCGAACGTGTCGAAGTGCTTACACATGCCCGCACAGAGCGGTTCGACCGCGACGCTCGAGCGAATGGCGCGGGGGTACACCAGAGAGGCGTACATCGAGCTCATCGATCGCGTCAGGATGATCATTCCCGGATGCGCGGTGACGACGGATATCATCTCCGGCTTTTGCGGTGAGACCGAGGCGGATCACGAAGACACGGTGAGCTTGATGACGAGAATCGGGTACGAGCAAGCCTTCATGTTCGCCTACTCCGAGCGCGAGGGCACTGGCGCGCACAGGCATCAAAAGGATGACGTTCCCGAGGATGTCAAGCAGCGGCGATTGCAAGAGGTCATCGACGCCTTCCGCGCCAAGGCGGGCGAAAAGCAGCGCATGGAGATCGGCTCCACGCACTGCGTCTTAGTCGAGGGTCCGAGTAAGAAGAACCCGGAGGAGCTCACGGGTAAGACGGACACGTCGAAGTGGGTGATTTTTGACGACGCGCCGACGGGGTCGTACGCGGGCGACGCGCGCTCGGCGACGACGGGGTCGCATCGCGTGTCTCCGGGCGATTACGTCGCCGTGCGAGTCACCGGATGCAGCACTGGTACTTTATTCGGTGAATTACTGGGAAAGACCACGCTTACGGAGTTTCAAAGACTCCACGGCGCGCAGTGGACGACGCCCGCCGAGGCCGTCGCCGCCGCGCGTTAAAAATCGCGCAGTCAGAATGTCGTCACCCATTCATTTCATTCGTTCAGCTCGCTTTATTATAATACTACTACAAAAAGATTCAGCTAAAACCACGCTCATCGATGCGATTCGAGCTCGCTCCTCACGTCCTCGTCCACGGTTTCGGCGTCCAGGTCGACGACGCACGTGACGTGGAACGGACCGCGTTGACCCGTGCGCGCCGTTCTTCCGCACCGGTGTAAAAACATCTCCATCGACGGCGCCGCGCCGTACTGCGCGACGTGATGTAAGTCTGGAAAGTCGATTCCACGAGCGGCGAGATCGGTGCAGACGCAAACTTTGAGATCTCCTGCGATGAAATCGTCCAACACCACGCCCCGTTCCTTCGCTCTGCCGTGAAACGCGAGCGCGACGACGTCGCGGGCGTCCAATTTCCCCACGAGCTCGTCCGCATCCTCGGGTGAGTTGGCGAAGATTAGTGTTTTATACGCCTTGTGACGATTCAAAGCGTCGCACAGGGATTCGAACTTTGCGTCGTCCCCTCGAACGTCGTCGACGCGCACGTCGAGCTGCGGATGCACGCGACCGAACCGCGCGGTGGACACCCACTCAACCTCACCCGGAAACGTCTCCAAAAGAGGTTGGGCCTCGCGCATCGTCGCAGCGGCAAATATGTACTGAACCTTGGTGTCGAATCGGTTGATCCCATTCTCGCCGTAGGAGAGTTTGATGATCTCCCCGACGTCGCTCGCGAAACCGCTCGATAACATTTCATCCGCCTCGTCCACGACGACGTGACGCAATCGTCCGAGCAACACCCACTCATCCTTGATGAGTTTTAGCAATCGCGCGGGCGTACACACTAAGACATCGGCGTTTCGAAACTCCGGAATCGCCTCCTCGTCGCCTTGAAGCTTGGACTTGTTCGCGGTTGTCGCCAATGCGGATTTCTTCATACCCTTCGTCTTCGACGACGTCTTCTTCACCCCCTTGGGCGCCGGTCTGACCAGTTTCTTCTCCTTGCCGAGCAACGCGAACACGTTTGGTGTGTAATATCCACTCTTGATCGCGTCGTCACTCATCGTGCACCAAAACGCCGCGAGCTCCGCGGCGTGCGTGACTTGCCTCCCGAGCTCGACGCTCGGAACCAAGACGACGCACGCCGGGCAGCATCGTCCACTTCGCTTCGATCCCTTCCTCCCCGGCGCACTCACGGACGCCATCGTGGGTAACAGGTACGCGAACGTCTTCCCGCTCCCCGTCTCAGCCAATATCGCCACGTTCTTGCCTTCCATCAACGGCGGCGTCGCCAATCGCTGAATCTCCGTCGTTCGTCGCAACCCCGCGGACCGAGCCGCGTCCGCGAGATGCGCGGGAATCCCCACGCGGGCAAACCCAGTCGCGGACGCATCGAGCGCATCATTCAATCCACCGTCGTCGCCGTACGAAGACCGTCGATGCGTCGAATCGATCCGCGCCGCGTTCTTTTCATCCTCCCGTCGCCATCGCGCGAGCTCCCACGGCCGCGCGTCCCCTCGCCGATACGCGCTCCGTCGCCCCCCACCCCCCGTCGTCGCCGTCGCACCATCAGTATCGTCATCTTCTTCCCCCATCAATCGCGCCCATCCGCGTAAATCGTCGTCGGCGCGCCAATAGCCGTCGTCTCGCCGCCGCGCGTCCCGAACCGTCGCCCTGTACAACGTCTCCGCGCTCACCGCGCGATCACGCCCGTTTTCTCCCCTCTCCCCCCCCGGCGCGCGTCTCGCCAATCGCTCCATGCGCGCGTCACCGCTCGATGCCCACGACCGAGGCGCGGTCGACGCATCTTTGGATGATTTTTGTATCGAATCACCATCCTCTGGGAAAGCGCCATCGACATCATCCTCCCCAGACGCCCTCGCGCGCGTCCGAATCGTCCTCGTCGGTCGACGCGACGATCGAGGACATTTATGCGGACGCACGGGCGACGCACGGGGGCGAACCGAGGCTCGCGGCGGCATCGACGGCGTCGCCATGTCGCGCATTCGCGATGGCGGCGTGGTGTGTGTCACGACATACGCCTATTTGTATCAGTATACGACGTGTCGTACACAGTGTATATTCGAGCGATGTCGTCACACACGTCGACGTCGACGCTTTTATGCGTACTGTGTTCTATATATAGATGGATCGAACGCCGATGTGCGTCGCGTGTGTGTCGCACCGTCGGACATCTGGGTCATCCGTGTGTGTGATATATCGGACATCCGGGACGTATTGCGATCGACGTGAAATCTATGTGATGACCCGAGGACGCGTTCGTGGGCGACGCCGGGAGGTTTTAGGGTCACGCGCGACGGACGACCCCTCATCTCGCGCCGCGCCACGCGACGCGACCGCACGCGGCGGGTACACACGGCGCCACGCGCACCGTCGACGCATTCACCGCGGTTTCGACCACGCGCGCGCGTCGCACGACGACGGACGAAGGATCATGCACGCGATGTCGAGCGCGTCGACGATGCGCGTGTCCACCGCGCGGGGGGGGGCGCTCGGCGCCAAGCGCGCGGTGTCGAGCGCGCGGGCGCTCCGCGCGCGGGTGGATATGTCCGCCGCGGTGTCGTTCACGCGCGAGCGCGCGGCGGTCGTCGCGAGCGCGACGAAGCGCGCGACGTCGTACGCGCACACCAATCGTAAGGGTTTGGCTGCATTCGTCGAGCGCGCGTCGGCGAAGCAGATGAAGGGGGATTTGATCCCGTTTCGAGTCGGGATGACGCTGAAAGTGGGCGTCACCGTCGCGGAAGGGAACAAGACGCGGGTGCAGCCGTACGAGGGGGTGGTGATCGCGATTCACCGCGCCGGGGTGGCGACGACGGTGACGGTGCGAAAGACGATGCAAGGGTTCGGCGTCGAGCGCGTGTTCCCGGTGCACTCGCCGTTGTGCACGTTCGAGGAGATTCGCGGTGCCGGTAAGCCGGTGGTACGTCATTTTATTTCGTCGATGCTCGAACGCGACGATGGGTCGGACGAGGCGCGAGTTCGGGGGGTGGGGCGTCGCGCGACGCGCGACGCCCGCCCCTCCGTCGAGCGTCGTCGTCGAGCGCGCGCGATGTCTCCACCGCGCGCGATCGAAACCATCGCTCGATCGCGTCATGGTCTCTTCGTTTTCTCGATTTCACAGACTGACGATGCGCGCGCGCCGCCGTTTCTCGCACCCATCACAGGTTCGTCGCGCCAAGCTCTTCTACCTGCGCAAGCTCGTCGGGAAGCAAGCGAGACTCAAGACTCGCTTCGTCGCCAAGAAGGACCAGGCGAAGAAGTGAGCGCGACGCGTCGTCGCGTTGGATCATCATCACGAATAGTAGCGAGCAGTCGACATTTAATTCATCGAACATCATCGTTCAATCGACCCGCGCCGCCGTCGCGCCGCGAATACGGAGCTAAACCCAACGCGGTTCGTCCCGCCGCACGCCTCGACGCCCCACGCGTGGACGATGACGGTCACCCTGCGATCGAGCGACGACGAAACCTTCGTCGTCGACGACGACGTCGCCTTGTGCGTCGCGCGACGCCCGCGGAGAGACGCGCGCGCAGAGACGCGTCGATCGCGAGATTTCTTTGACCGCGCGATTCCGAACGACACACTGACGTCAACGCGCGCGCGCGAATCGCAGTCTGAGCGAAACGATTAAGAGCATCATCGAGGGTGCGCGCGACGGGCGCGATGGCGTAAACGGCGCGAAGCGTGGAGGATGCGCGGGATGATTAGCCGCGGCGAACGCGCGGACGCGAGACGCGACGCGAACGATGAAAGACTGACGGTGTTCGCGACGCAGACACCGAGGACGAGAGCATGGTCCCGCTCCCGAACGTTTCGTCGAAAATCTTGGCGAAAGTGATCGAGTACGCAAAGTTTCACGTGGACGCGAAAAAGGCGAACGAGGCGGAGGCGAAGATCAAAGAGTTCAATACCGAATTCGTCAAGGTGGACCAGGCGACGCTGTTTGAGATCATTCTGGCGGCGAATTACTTGAACATGAAAGGCTTGCTCGACTTGACGTGCATGACGGTGGCGAACATGATGAAAGGGAAGACGCCGGAGGAGATTCGAAAGACGTTTAACATCAAGAATGACTTCACGCCGGAGGAGGAGGAAGAAGTGCGGAAGGAGAACCAGTGGGCGTTCGATTAGGTCGACTCGCGAAGGTGGTGATTGATGATGACGATTTAGACGAGAGCGTTGGACGATGGAGGAGGAACTCTCGAAAATATGTACACGAGGACGACGTCGCGCGACGAGGTGGGTTTTTTCGCGACGAAGGCGACGCGCGCGCGCGGGGGACGATGTAGCGTCACCTTGGCGACGAATAATTTCGCGACGAATGAAACGAAACGAAACGGAAAGAGATTTTCTTTGACTTTATTTTTCATCACGACGGTTCGATCGACGACCGCTCGGACGTTCACCCGTCGAGGTACTCCACGGGATGCATCTCCGGAAGCTCTGGGAGTTCGATTTCAACCTCGATCGATTCCTCCTCCCCCTTGGCCGCGAACGACGTCACGGTGCACGTCCAGGGACCTTTAGCCGCGCGCACGTCATCCCCGCTCGACGCGAACGACGCGTCGCCGCTCGCTCGGATGCTCGCGATGGCTTTCATCGACACCTCGAACGCCTGAAGCTCGATGATAGCCGGACGAGAAATCTCGAGATTTTCACCATCGTCCACGACGTTCACCTTGAAAAACAACGGCCACAGAACGTTGTCTATCTCACCTTCACGCTCCACTAACGGCCAAGAACCGGCTTCGCCGTCGTCCAGGTCCTCGAACGGGGTCTCGTGCGCCGACGCGAAGGCGCACGTTTGGCCCATTTGCGGCCCGCTCTCGACGTCGACGTTCCCCTTACTCACCTCGAACGCCGCCTGCGACTGCGTCAAGGTTTTATGAACCACAAAACCAAAATCCTCTTCCTCCATCGATCCCTCGAACGCCACGAACGCGGTGAGTCGCATCGCGACGTCGTCTCGAAGTTTCAACCGGTACGAAACCTTCACCGGCCGCCGACGCTCGAGCGCTCGATCGATATCACACTCCGCGAACGCCTTCGCCGCCTCGAACAACGACCTCCCGAACGCCATCGTGAACCCATCGACCGATGTGGACAACCCCGGGAGATGTCGCGTCCCCCACTCCTCCTCTACCCCCCCCCGCGCGTCCTCGGCGATTTTCGGCTCGACGCGTTCGCGAATCACCCGCGCGATCAACTCCTCCGGCACCGGCGCGAAACTCACGCTCTCAATCTCCGGAATCTCACGTTTCAACAACTCTCGACACTCCGCCACGTATCGACATCCATCGAACGTCGCCCACGCCTCCGGTTCGCCTCGCAACGCCCGCGCCGTGCGTCCGCACGCCACGCGAATCGTCCTCGGCGCCAATCCTCCCTCTCGGAACGTTTTCCCCTGCAGCGTCGCGTTCAGCGCCCGCGGTCGCTCGACGCACTTCCGTATGAACGCCGCGACGTCTTCGGACGACGGTTCGTCCTCGTACACGTTCCCTCGGTCGTCCCCGTCGCGGGCGTGGGAGAGAAAGGTTCCGCCGTCCGGCTCGACGACCAAGATGAGGTACGGTCGCGATGGCTTCGCCTCCCCGCCCTCGAGCGCCGTCGACGCCGTCGCGGTCGTGATCCAGGCGCGGAGTTTGTGGACGTAGACGTGCCAACACCGCGGGCGCGCGGGCGCGTCGGTCGCCATGGCGTCGCGATGTGTGGATAGGCTCCGCGGGTCTTCGTTTTCATACTATTATTCTACAACCGCATACGTCTCATGTGTCCGAGTATGTGATTTTATCTCTCTCGGGACACCACCAGGGTTATGGCTATATTTCTTTTTCATCCTATTATTCTACACCCGCATACGTCCCATATGTCCGAGTACGTGATATATCTCTCTCTCCGGACCCCACCAGGGTTGGGCGACGCACGTTTACGTCGTCGACACATCGCGCGGACGCGTATACGAGGCCTGTGTACGACCATGTATACACTCGCTCGGTGCGTACACGCACACGACACCGCGCGGACGATGAAATGACCCCCAGAGCGCGCCCGGGCGCGTCGACGCCCGCGAGGTCCCGTCGCGTCGACGTCGACGACGTCCCGCGCGCCCGCGAACGACGCGCGCGGCGGTCGAGGGATGGCGGCGCGCGCGTGGGATGGATGGACGTGTGGAGGGACACGACGACGAGTCACGACTCGTCGATGGCACCATTCGACGCGCACGACGCGCGCGACCGCCGACGACGCGTCGACGACGGCCGACGACGGCGACGCGACGGCGATGCATGATCACGGATTCTCCACGGATGGGAAAAATCGCGCGTACGCGGCGTCGATGGATGCGGATGCGTCTCGGCGGCGTCTCGGCGACGCGCGGGCGACGTACGCGATGACGATTTCGTACGACGGGACGAATTATAAGGGGTTTCAACGCCAAGGCGCGGACGTGGCGAGCGTGCAACGCGAGCTCGAGCGGTGTTTGACGCGGTTGACGGGTGAGGGGCGGGACGCGTTGCGATTGGGTGGGAGCGGGCGGACGGATGGCGGCGTCCACGCGCGCGGGCAAGTGGTGCACTTTTATAGCGAGAAGGATTGGCGCTCGGCGGAGGATTTCGCGCGGTGCGTCAAGGCGATGAATGGGATGTTACCTCGAGACGTGCGGTGCGAGCGGTTTTGGCGGCCGCACCCGGCGTTTCACGCGAGGTTTCACGCGACGCGGAAGACGTACGCGTATTACGTCGACGCGCGGTCGCCGCACGACGTCTTCGCGCGGGCGTACGCGTGTCAGTGCGGCTGGCGCGCGTGTGACGTCGACGCACTACGTCGAGCGTGTCAATATTTCGTCGGGACGCGAGATTTTCGCGCGTTCGCCAACACGTCCAGGGATAAACCGACGTCGGACGAGGATTTGAACACCACGCGAACCATCTTCCGCTTCGACGTCTTCGAGCAAGCGGACGGGTTGATCCGGCTCGAGTGCGAGGGCGACGGGTTTTTGTATAGGCAAGTTCGCAACATGGTCGGCGCCGCGCTCGTCGTCGCGAGCGGACGGGAGAAACCGGAGTGGATTCTTGATTTATTAGCGTCGGGCGACAGACGCCGCGTCCCGACGGCGGCGCCGGCGCGCGGGTTGTTTCTCCAATCCGTCGAGTATCCAGACTCGGTGAAGCCGATGTCGTTTACCGACGTCGATGTAATGTAAATCGATCGCGGCGCTCGTCGTTTCGCGCGCTTTCGCGTCGTTCGACGCCCTCGACGGTTTCCGCGCGCGAAAAAATCCAACCTCTGAGAAATCTTTCATAAACCGCACTGTGCGGCGCGTTGTGGCGCGTCATGCGTCGAATAAAGAACACCCAGACGCGGATGCTCTCGTGTGTGTCGTTTCTGTGCCTCTGTCTCGGTGCGAACGCGGCGTTTGCGCCGACGCGACGGCGATTCGTCGAGTCGGTGAGAAAAATTCACAGAAGTTCATTCCACTCCAGAGGCAACTTCGACATCTCGGCGAGTCCCGTGGTGTCCGCGACGTCACCGGACGCGGTGGCGATATCGGGCGGGGCCGTGATGACGATCAGAGGGGTGAATTTCGAGCGTAATTCGCGATGTAAGTTTTTCGCGACGCCGGGCGGACGCGCGAGCGAAGCCGAGGCGACGAGAGTGACTTCGACCGAGTTGACGTGCGTTTTGCCGGACATGCGAGACGCCGGGAACGTGCACGATGAGGTTTACATTCAAGTTTTCACGCGAAACAGCGAATATCACGCGTGGAGCGGGATCGAGGGGAATTTTCAGTGGTCGCGGACGAACTCGTTCGGCGTCGTCCAGGCGGACGCGAGCGCGCCGGGGTGTTACGGATGTTACTCAACTTCCGCGCCCGCGATCGCGTCGAGGGCGAGAGAATCGTGGACGATCGCGAAAGGAGAGAACACGGGGCCGGAGGACGGTGGGACGACGATCTTGATAAAATCAACCGTCGCGAGCGGAAGCGGCGCGCGAACCGGGACGTTTTACCAAGGATCGAGCCTGAAATGCGGGGCGTTTTGCTCGACGTCGTCTCCGAGTGGGTGGGTGAAATCGTTAACGGCCGCGAAGTGGATCGCGAACGATGAGATCGAGTGCGTCACGCCGCCGTGGCCGGGGAATGGGGTGACTTCTAGCACGGTGTCGCGCGCGTGTTTGATTCGAGTGACAAACGACGGCGCGACGTTCGATGATTTAATCTCGAGCGGTGGAGACGGAGATGGGACGCAAACGTTATTGACGAACGCGGCGAAGGTTGATTTTACCTACGTCGCGAGCGGCACCGCACCGAGCGTGACGTCGGTGGCGTCGTCCAGGATGCCGGCGACGTCTTCGCGGAGCGCGCGCGGTCCGTTCGCCGGCGGCGCCGTCGTCGTCGTTCGCGGGAGTAATTTTTTATCGAGCGTACATTTGGGGTGCAAATTTACTGGCGGATCGAGCGGATTCTCGGACGTCGTCGTTCCCGCGACGTACGTGAGCTCGACGGAGGTTCACTGCGTGTCGCCTCGGCGCGACGTGAGCGACGAAGACGCGTGGAAGGTGGATTACGGTTCAGGCGCGCCGTGTTTCGACGCCGCGGTGCACGTGTCGAATCAAAAATCGCGATCAAACGAGTGGAGCACGTCGTCGGGAACTTTCCATTACTGCGACTTGTACGTCTCATCGAGCGGATCGCGAGACGGCGATGGGACTCCGCTGAGACCGTTTTCGACGATTTCAGACGCGGCGCTCAACTCGCTCGTCGATCCAATCGACCCTCAGGGACGCTTCGTCTTGACCGACGAGCACGGATTTGGAGCGGCAACGACACGGAGCATGTGGCTAAACACCGATGTGGTGCGATTGGAAACCGGGATGTACTCGTCCAAAATATTGTTCGCGTCGAGCGACGACGACGCAGCGACGAGGAAACTCACCATTCGCGGCGGCGACGCGGTCATCGACTGCGAGGGCGACGACGCACCGAATCTCGAGATCGCGGGATTCTATGTGGATGTGCAGTTCATAAATTGTGGGAAACATGGCGAAGCGCTCGTCGAGCGATGCGACATCGTGCGGAATAACGATGGCGGCGATGCGGGTGCATCCTGCGCGTTCTCTCGCGTGTAGAATTACGAGTTTGTTTATAAATGCACGCATTGTTGTACAATTATCGCTACGGATCGACCACGATTTTCGTCTCCTCGATCTCGGACGAGCGAATGACTTCACCCACGCGTTCCCCGCGCTCGCGCTCGGCGTTCCAGTCTAAAATTGCCGCGACGTTGGCAAAGCATCCCATGACGTACGCGTCCATCTTGAGATGGTTCACGTGATCCGCGTTGAACGGGATCTCACACTCCGTCGCCGCGCCCTCGATCCCTAACAGAGCGAACGAGACCGCGAAGACGGCTGGGATCGTCCCCCATCCCCAGCGGTTGACGAAGACGAACGGCATCGACGTCAGGTACACCATTAAAAATGTCCGCAAATGGATTACGTAAATCTCCGGAATCTTCGTCGCCCTCAAACGCTCGAGGGCGCCGACTTGGAGCGCCAAGAATTCACACTGTTTGTTGAGCTCGCCTCGAACGCTCGCATCCGCGAGCGCGCTCGATGGATCGTGAGACGGCGCGCTCGACGACGACGAATGATAAAACGCCGTCTTGACGCACCGTCGACACATCGACAGCGCGAACAACGGCGGATGCGTCGCCTCGTTCATCGCCCGCACATCCTCCTCACTCAAAATCCCAGTGAACTCCTCTCTCACCGCGCCATCGGATTGTCCGCGTAAGAACGCCTTGCTCGCGGCGGCGAACGCGCACGCCCACGCGCTCGCGTCGTCCGCGACGCCCTCTCGCCGAGCGTTCCCCGAGGCGTAGATTAAAAACACATCCACGAAATCACGCACACCCGCGGTTATCCCTCCGAACGCGGTTCGACAGTCCCACCACCGCACCGCGGCGCGCGAGAGACGAAACACTAATAAAAATCCCATGGCGCTAAACGTCAACGAATACGCCGAATCAAAGCTCGTGTTCACCCCCGTCACCGAGCTCTTCAACGTTTTCGTCTCTCGTAAAATCGTCCAAATCAACGATATCGCGTTCACGCACGCCAACGGCCGCGCGTACGCCCCCAACGCGCGCTTGGACGTCGACGCGCTCAGCGCCGTGCGCGCCCACGAGCGCGCGTCGTAATCCGGTTGTTTCGCCATCCCCGCCGCCAACGTCGACGCCCGCGCCCGCGCGTTCAGCACATCATTCATCGTTCGGCGCAATCGCGGCTCGCGCGACATCCCACCCGTCGCCGCGATTCGCGCGGATTTGAATACGCGTCGTCCGCGCGAATCAGAATCAATCAATCAATCGATCGATCGATCAATCAATCACACGCGGTCTCGATCACCCGTCGCCCTCGACCTCCGCGATCGACCCTTCCGCGTCCACCGATGCGAGACGCACGCCGCAAGACGCGCGCGCGCGACGATCGACCGCGTCGGCGTCCGTGAATCACGATCAGGAACGCATTCGTATTTCAAACGTGACACTTTTTCATCCATCGTCATCGATCAATCACAATCCAATCCATCCACCGACGTCGACGCCGGACGACCGCGAGAGTACGTCGTCGCACACGAAAAAAATCCGTGTGCCCCATGCGGGTCTCGATCCCGCGGCTTCGGCGTTGCTCTCGTGAATTCAAACGCGACACTTTTTCATGCGCGCATGCATCGGCATCATCGCGAAGACGGTCATAATCAATCCATTCCATTCCATCCATTCCATCGAGTCGACCGACGTCGACGCCGGACGACCGCGAGAGTACGTCGTCGCACACAAAAAAAAATCCTCGTGCCCCATGCGGGTCTCGATCCCGCGGCTTCGGCGTTGCTCTCGCGCGACTCTCGTCGCGCTCGCGTACACGCGTCGCTGCGTATAAGCACCGCACTCTAACCAACTGAGTTAATGGGGCGTGGGGTGTTGTTGGCGAGTCCTGACTCGTGGATGGACACCCGCGTCCGCGCCTCGACACCGCGCGTGTTGGCGTGGGGAAAGTTATGGGTATTTTTGGTCATCCCGATCATCGATCGTCGCGTCTCGGACGTCCGCGCGCGCGACGTCGCGACGCCCGACGCGGCGTCCGAGACGCGCGCGGTACATTCGCGCGCGCGATCGACCGGGACGCGGTGCGCGGTGGCGTGGAGCGTCGAGCGATTTGATTGATTTCGCGATCGCGATCGCGAACGTCCAATCGTGCGTCGATGCCGACGCTCGACGACGCGCGCGCGGGCGACGGACGCGCGCGCGCGGCGTGCGGGATCCCGGTGGACCTCCCGTTTCGCGCGTCCGCGTCGACGACGGCGCGGGCGGAGACGGATGATGACGTGGATTTCATCGATGACGTCCTGGACGGATTGCGCGCGAACGTCCTTCGGCGACGGATTCCGGCGACGACGCCGCGGGAGCGTCTGAACGCGTATCTCACGGCGTACGCGCACGATGTGTTGAAACGATGCGCGATGGAGACGTCGTGTGGGGTGAAATCGGAGGCGATGAAGCGATCGATGGATGACGCGCGGGGACGGTTCGCGTGTCCGGGCGACGCCGATTTCGGCGACTTTGCGTCCCTCTTGCGACCGCCGGAGAGCGACGAGGAGCGGGAAACGTTTCGGGTTTTTGTGAAAAAGTGTCGGGTGGAATTGGCGAGGCGGTTGGTGGAGCGGTGTTACGACGCGAACACCGGGGAGCGGGATAAGTTTTGGATGGCGTTCGCGAAGAGACGCTTCATGAATCGATAGGCGGAGACGGGGAGGGGGAGACGCCGGTCGGAGAAATAAATTGTTGTACATAAAAATCATCCGCCGCGTGCAGTGTGTATCGCGTTTCGCGCGCGCGCGAGCGCAGTGCGTTGCTAGTGTTTCGTCGTCCTCGCGCGCGCTCACGCGGCGCCGCCGCCGGGGAAAGTGAACACCTCGGTCGGCGGCTTGCCTCCGGTGAGCGTGCGGTTCGCCTGTTTCAGCGCGAGCGCCTCTTCCTCTCTCACCTGACGAATAATCTCAGCCTGGTGCTTCAATCGCTCGGCGCGGTCGATGTCCAATTGCGTCGGCGCTTGACACCCCGAGTCTGAAGCATCGCCGCCCGAGCTCGAGACCGTGGTCGCGCCGGCGCCGGCGGCGACGATCCACTCGTGCGCGAGCGCCTGCTCGGCGCTCAACCGTTCCTTGGGATCCGTCTCCAACAATCCCGCCACCAGAGACTTTGCGGGATTGGAGATGAAATCCCAAACCCCGGGTTCGAGGTGATAGATCCCGTTCCGTATGTTTTGATACAATTGCGCCTCGTCCTCGTGATCGAACGGCGAGTACCCGGATAACAGGGCGAACAAGATGACGCCGACGCTCCACATGTCGCACGCCGTGGAGTAACACTGCTCCTCGTTCGCCGACGTCTCGAGCTCTAAAATCTCCGGCGCGATGTACAGTGGCGAACCGCATATCGTTCGCAAAGGCGCGTTCGCCTCTCTGAACCGCGCCAAGCCGAAATCGATCAACTTCACCGCGCCGCTTCGTCCGCGCGCGTCGCGCTCGTCGGATAACAAAATATTCTCCAACTTTAAATCTCTGTGCACCACGTTATGCGCGTGCATGTGCGCCACCGCTCTCAAGACCTGCGTTATGACCACCCTCGCCTCGTCCTCCGTGAACGATCCCGCCTGACTCACGCGCTCGAGTAACTCCCCTCCGCGAACCAACTCGCACACCATGAAGACGTTTCGCTCGGTGACGTACGTCGCGTACAACTCCACGACATTCGGGTGTCGGATCCCACTCAACACCTCCACCTCGCGCTCGAAGCTCACGTCCCCCGCCGCGTACTTCGTCTTATCCACCACCTTTATCGCCACCTCGCGAAGACTCGCGCGCTCGCGCGCCCGGGCCACGGTGCTGAACCCACCGCTCCCAATCTTCTCGAGCACCTCGTACTGCGCCGTGATCTCTCCCACGTCTCGGACGTATCGCACCGGCGATCGATGCGTGGGAATCATCTCCACGACGTCACCGAATCCGCGTCGTCACCACGATCGCGCGCGGCCGACGTTCGACCGCACGTCGACGCGATGCGCGAATCACGAATCGCGCGCGATCGATCGAATTCGTCCACGCCCGACGCCCACGCGCGGTGGTCGCCCACGCGCGCGCGCGCGATCGACGACGGTACTATCACCGCACGCCCACGCGCGCGGCGCGCGCGGTGTCGCGCGTCGCCGTCGCGCGTATCGACGCGATCTGTCGACGCGCGGTGTCGTTCGCGTCGACGCCACGCGCGTGGGCGCACGCGAGGACGACGTCGGGGGATCACACGGTGTTATACGCGCCACACTATGGATGGGCCCTCGACCGCGCGACGCCACGCGCGCGGTTGGCGCGCGACGACCGAGGCGCGACGCGCGCGCGACGTCCGCGGGCGTCGCGGCGCGGGAGGCGCGGCGCGTATTTTTTCACACCCGTCTCGCCCGTCACGTGGCGCGCGCGCGCGATGGGCGCGCGCGACGCATCGCGACGATCGCTCGAATCCACGCCGCGCGCGATGATGATGATGATGGGCATCCACGGCTGCGCGCGACGCATCGCGATCGTCGGCGCGCGCGCGCGACGCGGGGGCGAGACGCGGCGAGAGCGATCCACGACCGCGCGCGCGCGCGGTTCTCCGCGATCGCCGCCGCGGCGCGCGCGACGGACCACCGCCGATCGGTCGACGGGTCGCGAGAGATGAATCGTCGGCGACGGTCCCGTGACCGACGCGCCCGCGCGCGCGCGCGCGTCGTCGACGACGCGCGCGGATGAAGCGATGGAAAGAAATTTTCGCGACGCGCGCGCGGGCGTCGCGGGCGCGCGCGCGGCGCGGCGACGACGCGCGCGCGCGAATGTGCCCCGACGCCGTACCCCAGACACGGACGTCTCGCGCCGCGCGCCCCGCTCGTTTTTTTGTCGTCGCGTCGTGCGTGACTTTCGTGAAATGTGCACACTTTGGCGACGCGTCGACGACGCGCGCGGCGACGACGCGTCACGATATTCGACGAGAACGAAGACAATTCTATTCTCGATCGAATACGATCCTCCGCGCGCGCGAAGGCGTCGCGCGCGCCCCGGGTGACGTCGCCAAAGTGCGGTGTTTTCCTATTGTCCCACTGACGCTCAACACATCGCCGCCCCCCATCGCGTCGCGCGCGGTGGTCGCACGCGCGCGCGCATGGACGCCGAGACCCCGTGCGCGTGGGGTCGCATCCTCGCCGTCGCCATCGACGGCGGCGCCGCGTGCGCGTTCACGGCGTCGCTCGCGTGGAACGTGCACGCGCTCGTGACGTTGGATGATTTACAGAGCGATCGCGTCAACCCGCACGACGCGAGTCGACGCATCGCGCGCTCGGCGCGCGCGGAGGCGAGCGCGCACGGTGTCGGCGTCGCGCTGTGCGCGCTGCGGGGACGCCCGATCGCGGTGGTGGTGAACGCGCCGTTGATGTGGTGGCACTGGAATCGGTGCGGGACGCGCGACGCGACGACGACGACGACGACGACGACGACGACGGCGACGACGACGACCGCGGGCGACGACGCGGCGGTGGACGACGATGGCGAGGACTGACCGCGGCGGCGAGATCGCTGGACGACGCGCAGGTGGCGAGAGGGACGGTTGAGCGCGGACGCGACGGAGATTTTCGCCGCGGCGGACGCCGAGCGCGTCGCGCGCGGACGCAAGCTCGCCTTTTTAGCGTGCGTGGTCATGATCGCCGCGTACGCCGTCACGCACGCCGTCGTGCACTCGCTCATGACCAAGGCTGGAAGGGAGGCGTTGGCGAAAATCTTGCGAGAGGCGTCGCACTCGCCGATGTATCACATGTTTTGACCCCCGCGCGCGCCGGTGGACGTCGACGCATCGATAGCGCATCAATAGCCACCCACTACAGTACAAATCACCATTCGCATCGCTCGCGCGAAGACGTCCCGACGCGAATTCACTTCGTTCGAGGATCGTCCCGCGTCTTGATCACCCCGTACGCGCTCGAAAACACCAAAAACCCCCCCGTGAACGGCGTGAAGAACGGATAGAGCGTCCCCTCGATCCACCCATCGAGGGATTCCGGGAAAACCCCGAACGCGCTCGCCCCCAGCACCACCCCGATCGCGAAGATCACCGCGATGTACGCCGAGAGAAACCGCACGTACGCCTCCTCCGTCGCCGCCGTCGCCGTCTTCTCCCCCGTCCCGCGCGCCGCCGCCACCGCCGCGGAGTCCACGTCCACGCGCGCCCGACGCGTCGGTCGCTTCGAGCGCGTCACCCGTTCGCGCGCGTCCACGCGCGCGGCGTCCGAGGCGTCGACGTCGTCGATGCGATCGCCGTCGCGATCCTTTCCACGCGTCGACCGCGCCGTCGTTCGCGCCGTCGTTCGCGCCGTCGTTCGCGAACGCGAAGGCGTCGTTCGCGAACCCGACGCGCGCGGGATGGCGCGCATCGTCGTCGTCGCGGCGCGGGATGGCGCGAGCGGTGCGATCGATTCGCGCATCGTCGCGTCACGCGTGTGAAAAAATGAAAAAAATCACCACGACGCGACGCGCGCGACGCGCGCGACGCGCGAGACGCGCGAGACGCGATCGGGACGCGGCGTCGACGCGTCGACGGGCGCGACGCGTCGGTCGGACGCGTCGACGCGATGCGTGTGCACACATCATCTTTCCATGATTCGACCAAGACCCATGAATGAATGCGCGCATGTGCATTCATTCATGAAAACATGCATTCATGAACGCATTACAAAAGCCATGGATGTGCGTCGAGCGCCGCGGGCGTCGCGACGGGCGCGACGCGTCGGTCGGACGCGTCGACGCGATGCGTGTGCACACATCATCTTTCCACGATTCGACCAAGACCCATGAATATGAATGGTTGCGCGCATGTGCATTCATTCATGAAATCATGCATTCATGAACGCATCACAAAAGCCATCGATGCGCGTCGAGCGCCGCGAGCGCGAAGACCGTCGCGAACGCCCCGTCGACGCGTCGAGCGACGCCGCGCGCCCGTCGACGCCCCCCCCGCGCGCGTCCCGATGCTCGATGGTCATCATCTGTGTGCGCAAACAGTACGCACACATGACGATGTCGACACGTCCCGAGCGCCCACTCGACCCCATCGCGCGGCGCGCCGCGTCGACGACCGCCCCCGAGGCCCCGCGCGCGCGCGCCGACGGTCGACGCCCGGACGCGCGACGCGTCGGCGATCGACGCGCCGCGCGATTCATCCATCGGGGCGTCGTTTCACATTTGATTGCACGCATTCGATGGCGATCGATTCACGACCACGCGACGTCCCGACCACGCGCCGTGGACGCCCGAACGCGGGCATGGACGACCGCGCGCGCGTCCGCGACGGCGTCGTCGACGACGACGCGCCGTGGTCGAGGACGGGCGACGACGACGACGACGACGCGACGGCGACGCCGACGACGAGGCCCGGCGACGCGCCGACGACGACGACGACGGACGCGCGCGCGATTTCGATGGCGTCCACGGTGGAGTTCATCCGTCGCGTCGCCCTCGAGCGCGGGCGCGCGCTCGAGCGGTGGACGTGGGCGCGCGACGGCGAGGACGAGGACGCGCCGGCGACGCCGTCCGAGGGTTCGGTCCATCGCGCGCGGCTCTGCGACTCCGCGCGCGCGTCGCCGAGGCGGGCGAGGGACGCGGGCGACGGCCGGGGCGCGGGCGCGATCGCGCGGGCGACGGGCGCGGTGGGTCGGCGCGCGGCGACGGACGCGCGGGGATCGGCGCGGAATCGGCGACGGGCGACGGCGACGACGACGACGACGGCGACGCGGACGCGGATGGGCGCGACGGTGTCGAGGCGTTTCTCGCCCTGTTAGCGCGGGCGCAGGGCGCGTGGGCGCGCGCGAGCGACGGCGACGCGCCTCGAGGATGGACGGGGAGCGCGAGCACGATGTCGCGCGCGGGGACGATTCGCGTCGGTCGAGCGCATCAGGCGGACGTCCCGGCGGGGACGGACGCAAGCGTGCGCAGGGGGGCGCCGAACGCGCGCGAGCGGTACTTTTTGGGCGCGCGCGCGTTTCCTGTCGGGACGAAGGGGGTAGGGACGCGGGTCGGGACGCGTCCGTCGCCGTGGCGACGCGACGCGCGCGCGGCGGCGAACGCGGCGGCGAACGCGGGCGCGCTCGAGCGAGCGAATGGAGGGACGGGGACGAGCGCCGATACCTCGCGCGCCGTCGAGGATGGACACAGAAATGACGACGCCGACGACGGCGACGACGCGACGGAAAAGAATGCGGGCGAACGCGCCGACGGCGACGACGTGAATGATGGCGACGCGCGCTCGGCGAAACGAAAGCCGTTGTTCTCCGATGAAGAGATCGCGCGCTCCAGGCGCGCGCTCGAGGATGGATTGCGCGCGGCGGGCGTGGACGAGTCGAGCGGTATGCTCGGCTTGCGAACGATCGGCGCCGCGAACGCGCGAGAGAATTGGGACGACGATGAAATCGCGACATTTTCACGGCACGCCACCGCGTACGCCGACGATTTGATTCGTCTGAAGAGCAAGCTCCCGAAGAAGACGATGCGCGACGTCGTGAGTTACTACTACAACGTCTGGCAAATCGGCGTTGAAAATTTTGGTCGCGTCGACATCGAGGGCGCCGAGGCGCCGGCGCCGCGCGAGCGCAGGCGAGGTCCGGCGCCCAAGTACACGAGCGCGCAGATTCAGCGCGAGAAGGATCAGAGAAGAATTCACAACTTTTTGGAGTACATTCGCGCCGTGGCGATGAATCCGAAACGGGCAATGTTAAACGTACATCGAGCGCCGACGACGGCGCGCGTGTTCGATCACATGATGGCCCGATTCCGAGCTGGGACGCACCCGTCGCCGGGAGACACCGAGGGGATTTTGAGCGATTTGGAGAAGCGAAAGACCGCGTCGCTGTTCACGAAGGAGGAGCTCGAGGCGCAGGCCAAGGCCAAGGCGGAGGCCAAGGCGGAGGCGGCGCGCGCAAAGGCGCGAGCGTACAAAGCCATGCTCAAGGCCCAGCGAAAGGCGGCGCGCGAGGCGGCGAAGACAGAGGAGGGAGGTGGTAAAACAAAGAGCGATGACGGCGCCGAGGCGGACGACGACGAGCGCGCCGCCGCGAAGGGGAAGAGGAAGAAGGATGACGAGCCGCCGAAAAAGAAGGCGAAAAAAACTAACATTGTGCTTCACAAGACGCCAAAGACGCCAAAGACCGCGGAGATGGAGACGAAACGCGTCACGCCCACAGGGACGACGAAGGTGGTCAAGTCGATGAAGCAGAAAAAGGTGAACTCGCCGAACGAGGAAAAGAGGTTCGTTCTTTAACGCGGCGGCGACGATATTTGCGCGCTCGACGTTTGAATACGTTTTAACGTTTTAAAACCATCCTCATACGTCTACTGTCCATATTCTAACGCATATCTATGAAACGCGTGTTCGAGCCGAGGTATCCCGCCAAAGCCTCCTTCGAGTTGCTGCGCCCGTCGAGCTTGGCCGACTCGTCGAGCGTGCGCTTATAGCGGTACCAGTCGTTGATCCCCACCGTGATCTCCGCAATCTTATCGAGCTCGCACGCGTCGTCGCACTTCATGGAAATCCGTCCTGCCTCGCGCAAACCGGAGAGAAATGCCCCATGCATGGTGGCTGGATACTGCCGCGTCGTCGCCTCGCCTGCGAAGTGTATGTTCCCGACCGGTTTAGCCATTTCGTCGTAATCTTCACCCGTGGTGTCCACCGAGCACGAGCTGTACGAACCGTACGTGTACTTATCGCTTTGCCACTTCGTAACGTGGAACGATATTGGATCCGGAACTGTTTTACCTTGCTTCCCAAACGCACTTCGTAGGTACGTCATCAAGTCGGTGACGACGACGCTGGGCTCGTGCAACTCGACCTCGATCCCAGCATCTCCCGCACACAGCGCGATCAGGACGTTGTTCCCCTCCGCCTTATCGTACGTGTACGTTAAGAAATATCGACCCCGGTCGGACGTCTGGCTCTGCACGAACCCAAAGGCATCATGCGCGTCGTCCCAAAATTTTTCTGGAAACACCAAGACAACTTTGTTCAAAACGCCGAAACCAATGTTACGAATCGCTTTTATCTTTCGACACGGGAGCGCGGGGAAGAATTCGATGAGATCACGTTTCAGTACTCCGAGAGGAACAGTGACGATGCATGCGTCGGCCATCACGTCCAAGTCTGCGCCGCAGTTAACGATGACACCTCGTCCGACACCGAGATCTGTGATGGACGACACGCGATGGCCGTACCAAATCGTCAAACCTTGAGACAAAGCCTCAATGAACTTTTGATTCCCACCCCGCACCACGACGTGATCGCCCGAGAAATCGTACGCGTCGTCCTGGTCCCACTGCATGAGGGAGAGCTCTCGAGCCCGCGACGCGTTTGCGAATTCCATATTCGCGATGTGCCAGTTATAAATGTCCTTCGCCTCCTGCCTTTTCTCCGTGGGGAGCTTTAAGAGCTCATTGTTTATCCTTTTTTCGATCTCAGCTCCGAAACTCGTCGTGTTCGCCACCGATCTCTCGATGTTGCGTCGATGCTCACTCATGTCCTCCAGCAACCGATTGAACGTCGCCTCGACGTCCTTATCCATCTCCTCGTTCACCGCGTTGCCGTTTTCATCGTACAAATCGCACTCGGTCTGAATCGCGTGTGAAATCAAGCCGAGCTGTCGAGACATAACGAACAGAGGGTTCCCATTGGATCCACTCAAGATGCTCCCGCCCAGGTCGACCGGAACCTTTGTACCTTTCGGGCCGTCGAATTCACGCGTATTCACTCGACCTCCCACGCGACGGCGTGCCTCCAGAACGACGACGTCATGTCCGAGGTTGGACAAGTGTCTCGCCGCAGCGAGTCCCGACATCCCGGCGCCGATGACGACGACGGAGAACTTTTTCTGTTTGAACGTAGAGCCAAAATTTGCCGCGTTCAGCCTTACGTTTTGAATAGTCGCCGCAAACTCCTCGAACGCGTGCTTCGACGGCTTCATGATTCCAAAGTTGATGTACCCGAACGTGGTCAAGTATTTGTGTACCGCGACCGCTAGGTCGGAGAATTTCTTCTTGAATAAATCCGTCGCCGTCTCGGCGGTGAGATATTCTCTCGGCCTCGATCGCCACTTCACGATGAGCGCGTTCCTGATGGCGATAAAATCCTCCTCTCTGTGGTAACCATCTCTCGGCAAGAAAGCTCGTTCGAACTCGGTGAGTCGCTCGCAGTCGAGCGAGAGCTCGTACGCCATGGCTAAATCGGCGACGTCCTCGGATCGAATTCTTCGCTCGCCGCGCTCCGCGTTTCGACTCTCCGCCTCCTTCCACGACGACGCGCGACGCTCACCGTGTTCAGTGGTGGTCTCCCCCAGATCCCGCCGCGGTCGTCCACGTCCACGTTTCTTCGGACGACGCCTTTGCTCAGCCGTGGCGTCTCGCTCGTCCCACGAGGCGTCGTCGTCCGACGCGACGCGTCTCGGTTTCTTCCGCGCCCTCACGCTTCTCCGTTGCTCCCCAATCGTCACCGTCGGCCCTCGCCCGTCGCCCATCGCCCCAACGTCCGAGTCTTCATTTTCATCATCCCTCGCTCTCGACGGTTTCCCTTTCCTCCCGCGTCTCCTGAGCGACGCCGACGCGTCCGCCGCCGACGCGACCACCCCCGAGGGATCTTCCCATCGCTCGGCCACACCCACCGCGTCGTCCGCGCTGGCATCACTTCCATCTCCCGCCGATCGATCGCTCGCGTCGTCCGAATCATCGCCTCGACCGTCGTCGTCCGAATCATCGCCTCGACCGTCGTCGTCGTCGTCGTCGTCGCGCGTCGATTCAAAACCTCTCTCGCCCCGCCCCCGCCGCCCCCGACCCCCCGCGCGACGGCTTCGGAGACTTTAACGATCGTAGCGCCCGTCGCAGGAACGTTCCCACGCCCATGGTCGTCGTCGTCGTCGTCGATCGATGCCCGATGGTGATGTTCCGACGATCTCGAGAATCGCCCCCGTGCGCGCGCGCGCGAGGCGCTGCCGCGTCCACGACCGCGCGCGAAGGACACGAAATATTTCCTCGACGCCCGCGCGCCGCGAGAGCGACGACGGAGACGCGCCGGCGACGCGCGCGCGCGATGTCGATGCGCGCGACGGTGTGTGTTGGCACACGTCGTATTCAGTGTACGAATACGCCATGTATCGTCGTTTCGAGACGTGTCCAACGTCCACGGACACCTTCTCGGACCATTGATACGTATAGAATGGGTATTTAGAGAGATCACGTGTGAGATAATACGCCGGGTCGGCCGCCGCCGCGACGCGCGTCGACGCCGGTGCGCGACGCGCGTTCAACGCGCGCGCTCGAAAAGCGCGGTCGAGGGGGCGGAGAGAATATTCCCGCCGCAGTCGCGCGCGCGCGCGGGGGGAAAGCGCGGTCGAGCGACGCGTGACGGGGCGATTTCAGGGAATCACGCGATTTGACCCGATTTGAATTCACATCGCGCGATCGATCGCGCGACGTCGACGTCGCGCGCGATCGACCGCGCGAGCCGAGATGACGTTTAAGATTTTCGTCGGTGGACAGCGGGTGAAGAGCGAGGAGGTGTTGGGGCGGTGTTGGGGCGCGGTGCGTGTTCGCGTCGAGGTCGCGCGCGACGCGCGACGACGGCGACGCGACGCGGCGACTGACGAAGAAGTCGTTCGCGACGATAGGGCAATCGGGACGGGCAGAAACGCACGCGACACGGTGACGGGGGCGCGGGCGGGACCATGGGGACGTGTGACGCGAACGCGCGGGCAGACGGGACGGACGCGCACGAGCCGAGCGCGAAACGCGCGGCGACGTGACGAAGGCTCGCGTGTAGGAGAACTAGAATATTCATGTGCGCGCATACAGCGATTATTTTTACGCGCGCGGCGAGCGATTCACTCGCCGAAGACGTCGCGGACCCACGAGTTGAAGATTTTTTCGCTTCCGTACCACGCGCGCGGTTTCGCGCTCGTCGTCGACGACCCGAGCGGGGTGTGATACACCCCGGGCAAGATCAAACCCCGCGCGCCGTCCATGATGGCGGTCTCGCACGGGGTGATGCCGTCGCCCTCGACGTCCGCCTTGCCGCACACCATCTTATACCCCAGGCCGATGCCGAACGCGGCGACGTTCGCGACGTCTTCGGACCCGCGCGCGTACGTCCCCGCCACGCACGTCACCTCGATCCCGAGCTCGGTTTCGTACGCCTCGGCACTCCTACAATTTTCTTCGACCCAATTCAATATCCCTCGCGTCTGATCGATCACCCCCGGCGCGCTCGCGTCCACCGGTTTCATCGGCGACCCGAGCGTGACCAGTTTTCCCACCGACCGCGCGCGCGCGTCCGTCGCGTACGCGTCGACGTACACCCTCGCCAACCACCCCCCCGCGGAGTGCGCGACGAGCGCGATGGCGTCACCGCGTTCGTCGTCCAACGCACCGCACGCGCGCTCGATGCGCTCGAGGTACCAGTCGACGAACGGCCTCGGCGCGAGCGTCCCGCGCCAATACTCCGCGGTCACCGCTCCCGCGGCGTTTCGCAACCAATCCACCCGGGACACGGGCGCTATGGCGACCGCGTGTCCACGGGCGCGAAACAGCGCGGCGAGGGCGTCGTAATCACCGCTCGCGTTGCCGAGACCGGGTAAGATGCAAATCTTGTCCTTGGCGCGTGATGATGCATTCGTCGACGTCACGCGCGCACACGCGCGCCGCGCGCGACGGGACGCGGTCGAGACGGATGCACGCGTGTGTCCACCGCCACGAGCGCGTTCGGGGGTGGATTCGGGGCGAACGCGTGTGCGCGCGCGCATGGAGCCCGCGTGTGCGGCGACGCGCGAGGTCTCGACGGGAAAGAGGTGTTCAAATAATAAAATCTACCGCGCCCCCGGGACGTCGGCCCGGACTCTTCTGGCGAAAGAAAATCGATCGCCGTCGACGCTCAGAGCGACGCCCACGCCGGACCCTCGATCGTCCCCGGCGCGCGCGCGGCCTTCGTAATACAATCGAACGCGGTCCCCAGCCATGGGGACGGCGTACGGCTTCCCGACCCCGCCGTGATCCCACGCGCCTTCCTCCCCGCGCTCGAGCGCGGGTTTCGAAGGTCTCGTCCACGTCACGCCGTCTCGCGAGGTCGCGACCGCGATCGAGCTCACTCCGGGCGCGCGCGCGGAGTACGCCTCGTAAAACATGACGAATTCCTCCTTGCCCAGACGCGCGACGCACGGCGCGCCGACGCCGGCGTCGTCGAAGCTCCCCGGCGGACCCGGAGCGAACATCGGGACGGCGCTTCGATCGCTCGCCGGGTAGACGAAACCATCCTTCGTTCGCGCGCACCCGATGTACGACGTCCCCGTCGACGGGTCCATCGACGCGTAATACACCCGAATGTCTCTCGGTCCGGCGAGCAAAACCTTTGGATCTCTCACGCACGCGTGATCCCACGCGCCCTCTTCTCCGACGTCGAACAAAGCGCCGGTGTGATGCTCGCCCTCGATTCTCGCCCAATTCCTCCCGTCTTGCGACAGACACAACCCGACGCGCGTGGTGACGTCCTCCGCGCCGTCCACCGATCTTCGTCCATCGATCTTCGCCCCTTTCGCCGCGTGATCGTACCCGTGATAAAACATCCAGTACACCGACGCCCCTCGCACGGCGTCGCTCGAGATTAACCGCACGTCGCCCGCGCACGCGCCCGCGACGTCAAACGTCCACCAATCCTCCGCGTTCGCCCCGAGCACGCGACCGACGTCCACGGACGCGTTCGACGACCCATCGCTCCGATACATCACCGCATCACCGCTTCCCCGGTTCCACGCGATGCCGTCCGAAGACGTCGCGACACCGACGCTATCGACGCCGTCCGCGTTCGTTCCGGTGTACCACATCGTCCACGCCTCGCCGTCGTCCCGAAACCGCGCGTCGACGATCGGTCCCGACACCGCGCGCGCGTCGAACGCCGTCGCGACGTCGTTCGGTCCGAGCACGGGCGCCCGCGCGCGCACCGCGCACGTCGATATCGATCGATGACGATGATGACGATGATGCCGATGATGATGACGATGATGTCGATGATGCCTATGACGCCCCGACGCGCTCCCCTCCACGCGCGCGTCGACCCGAGGCACGGCGACGCCCATACCGCTCGATCGACCCGCGCGCGTGGTCGACGTCTCGCGCCGCGGTGCGTCGTCGTCGTCGTCGCGTCGCTCGCGTGATCGTCTCGAAAGGTCCGCGTGTGACGTGTGTGAGACGCGAGTCTTTAGAAAGGTCCGCGTGTGACTCATGTGAGACACACACACCAAAAAGGTCCGCGTGTGACGTCTATGAGACACGATTCGGATCCACCGCGCGTCGACGCCGACGCCGCGCGAGGACGCGACGGGCGTCCGTCCACCGCGGCGCGCGTCCGCTCGACCGCGTTAGTGGACGACGGACGCGCGACCGGACGCTCGAGCGCGTGGACGGGTGCGTCGTGGGTGATTCGATTCGTCCACGCACAATCGGCGTCGGTGTTGGCGCATCGACGATCGCGACGACGCCTCGACCGGGATGACGAGTTACTACGACCGCGCGCGCGGGAGCGTCGCCATCGGAGGGTCTCTGGGGTCCGGGGATAAGACGAAGATGGCGGCGTCGAGGTTGTTTCAGAAATCGTTGCGGGACATGATCACGGGCATTCGCGCGCACAAGGATGGGCAGAGAGAATTCATTAATAAGTGCCTGGTGGACGTGCGAACGGAGGTGCAGTCGTCGGACGTGCGAACGAAAGCGGTGGCGATCGAAAAGGCGACGTACTTACACTCGTTGGGGCACTCGATGCACTGGGCGTCTTTTCACGTCGTGGAGTTGATGTCGACGCAAAACGTAAAGTATAAGCGCGTGGGGTATCTCGCGGCGTCGCAGAGTTTTGGGGACGACACCGACGTGGTGTTGCTGATTCCGAATTTGTTGAAGAAGGATTTAGCCTCGCCGAATCCCGCGGAGGCGGCTTTGGCGTTGACGTGTCTCGGGAACATCGTGACGCCAGAGTTGTCGCAGACGTTGGTCGCCGACGTGTACTCGTTGTTGAACAATCACAAACCGGATTTACGACGACGGGCGTGTTTGTGCCTGTACAAGTGTTTCTTGAGATATCCCGAAGCGCTGCGGCCGTCGTTCACGCGATTGACGGAATGTTTGGACGACGACGATCAATCCGTCGTCCAGGCGGCTGTCACCGTCTTGTCCGAACTCGCGATGCACAACCCGAAGACGTACTTACCGCTCGCGCCAAAGTTTTACAAGCTTCTCACGTCGTCGTCGTCGAACTGGATGACGATCAAGTTGGTGAAAGTTTTCGGCGCTCTGGCGCCGCTCGAACCGAGGTTGGCGAAGAAGCTCGCGGGGCCGATTTCGGAAATCTTGGAGACGACATCCGCGAAATCGCTCATGTACGAGTGCGTGCGCACGGCGGTGATGGGAATGACGAGTCAGGAGAAGGTAATTCGCCAGGCGGTGGATAAATTGAAGGATATGCTCGAGGATCACGATCCGAACATCAAATTTCTCGCCCTGCACGCGCTGACGTATTTGTTGGACTCGCATCCGAGAATCGTCGCCGAGCACAAGGGGAACATTTTTGAGTGCCTCGATCACGAGGATTCGAACATTCAGTACTGCGCGCTAAAGATTGTGTGCGGGTTGGTGACCAAGCGCACTTTGATCGACACCACGTCGGTTTTGATGAACTGCATGGGCAAGGCGGATCAACGCTTCCGCGACGAGCTCGTGTCGAGCGTGATTCGAATCTGCATGAATGAGCGTTACGCCCTGGTCACCGACTTTGTGTGGTATCTCAGCGTTTTGGCCGATCTCATCCGCGTCCCGTGCTCTTCGCACGGCGCGTTAATCGGCGAGCAAATCATCGACGTGTGCCTGCGCGTCGAGGTCATCCGCGAAGCCGCCGTCGGGATCTTGGCCCCGCTTTTGCTCGACGTCTCTTTGCTCGAGCCATCCAACGTGAACAAAACCGTACCGAGCGCGTTGAAAGCCGTCGCGTGGGTCGTCGGCGAATACGCGCATCACATCGTCGACCACGAAGAAATTTTGGACGCCCTGCTCAACCCGGCGGTGAAGCAACTTCCGGGCGACGCGCAGGCGGTGTACGTCCAAGCCATCTTCAAGGTGTACGCGAGCGCGGTGTTGAACTACTCGCGAGGAATTCGACCGACGGGCGCGGTCGGGGCGCTTCCGGCACCGGAACCGTTGATCGATATCTCCGTCGATGACGACACGGCTGCGGCGTCGGGTGCCGCGAGAGACGGCGCCGGCGTCACCCCGGGTACGCTCGTTCCGGAGAGCGAAGACTTGATCGAGTTGCGCGATAAGGTGTCTCGCCGCATCGAACCCCTCACGACGAGCTTCAACTTGGAGGTGAGAGAGCGAAGCTGTCAGTTGCAAAAAATGCTCGGCATCGTCGGCGCCGCCGAGCGCTCCGAACCCGGTTCGGGGATCGCCATCATCGAGGCGTTCGCGACGGTGATGAGCGACGAGATTCAACCCGTCTCCGTCAAGGCGCAGCGTAAGATTGAAGTTCCCGCCGAGCTCTTGGACGACGAACCGATGAGCGCAGAGTGGGATTACCTCCTCGTCAGTAGTGATGAGGAAGAGGACGACGAGTACGCGAGCAGAAAGGGCAAGAAGAAGGGCAAGAAGAGCAAATCCAAGGATAAGATGTCCAAGGATCTGCGCGAGGTCGCGGAGATCTTCGGGGCGAAGAAGACGAAGGAACAAGTCGCCCGAGAAGAGCGCGAGAGTCGAGAGATGCTCGCTAAGCACAAGGAAAAGATGGGACAGTACTACCTCGAAGGTGAGACGGGCGCGGACAAGGAAAAAAAGAAGGGACCGCCGAAGTCGCTTCCGGGTCCGGAGTCCGCGGCGATGCTCGCCTTGGAGGCGCGATTGGCGAGCCACGCCGTCGGCCAAACCGAGCGACCCGCCATCAAGGGCGAGAGCGACAGCGAGAGCGAAGAGGAAGAACAGGTCATCGCCGTAAAGAAGGGGAAGAGCTACGATCCAAAGAACGCCTCGTCGCGCTTACACGGCGAACTCGAGGCGTACAATCCGCTGAAGCCGCTCGAACGCAACGAACACCTTCCCACGGTGGAGGCGTATCCGCGTTTCGATCCGTACTCACAGGACGAAGCCGCGTTCAACGCCTTCGCCCCGAGTGGTGGCGACGCGAGATCCCATCACAAGGATAAGAAGGATAAGAAGAAGCGCGATAAGAAGAAGAAGGATAAGGGCGCGGGGGGCGAGGACGGCGAATCCAAGGAGAAAAAGCCAAAGAAGGAGAAGGGCGCCGGCGAGAAGAAATCCGGCGGCACAAAGAAGAAATCCGGCGAGAAGAAGACCGTCGACGTCGATGCCTTGGCTCAAAGTCTCATGGACGCTAAGGTTTGACGTGACGATCGCGTTTAGCTACAGCTTTGTACGTTTAACTCATCCCCATCATGAATCAAAATCCAAACGTGTCTCTTCGTCTCCCTTGAAGATGAGTGCGCGGAGTGAGTAACGCACGAGCGACGACGCGCATTCACCGCCGCTTCGCGTGCGTGTGTCCAAACCATCTCCTCTCGCGCCAAGCTCACTCCGATCGATGACCGTGACGTGGGCGGACGCGGGCAATCCAAAGGCCCAGGTCACGCTCGATGACGCCAGAGCTTGGGCGATGGAATACGGATACGTCAAGACGAACGTCCCGCTCGATCGTCCCGTCGCCCAACGCGTCGATCTCGTCGCATTCTTCGAGGTGTACAACGCCAACGCGTTTTCCGTTTTCAGACAAAAATTCAAATCGCGACGCTTGAGACCGCCGAATGAGGAGCAGGTACGTCGCCGCCCCGCCACGCGCGCGACGGGCGTCAGACTGACCGTTCGTCTCCAACACCGCAGGACGACGAAACCGACGATGAGTCCGACGACGAGGACTACACCGAGGAAGAAATCGCTAAGATGCTATCTGAATACGAACAATACAAGGACTACGAGTCGCTAAAATGGCGGTACGTCAAGCGTCCCGGAGGCCAGGCGGTTCGCCCGGAACTCTGGTACAAGTGTTATGGAACCTCCCAGTACATCAACGAGGGCGAGAACAAGTCGCCGGCACCGGTGTGGCGCGAAGATGGCTCAATCGACTACGGTGGACGCGACAAGTGGGACGCTTGGACCCGTTGCGCGGGGATGACGGTGAAGCAGGCAAAGATTGGGTTTGTCAAGGCGATTCGGGCGGCGCTCGACGATCGACCGTCCAACTTTTACTAAGCTCACGCCTTCCTCGCGAGTGTTCTCTGCTTCGTGGCCACCTGCACGATCTTCTCCTCAACCTGCGTGTAAAGAAATAAAAGCGTCAGTCCCGTGTGCTTTTAGATGTGGAGAGCGTGTCGTGTATTCAACGCGCGTGTCGGCGCGTCGTCTCACCTTTAATCCCTTGCGCCTGCGAACTGAATCCATGAGCTGACGCGCTATGTTCGGTCCCACGTCCCCGTCTTCGCCGAACTCCTCGCGCTCTTCCTCGGTTGTCGGAGTGAAGAATGGATCGATGTCCATGGTGGACCAATGACTGAACACTAACTGCGCCGTAGACGCCCCGGACGTTTGCGCTCGAAGCTGGTCGACGAAACCAAAGGACGACGCCACAGGGAGGTAGGCGTGAATGACGAACACCCCCGTGCCCTCGCGAATGGTTTCGGACAAAATCTGCGATCGACGCTTCCCGAGCACGGCGTACGTCCCCCCGAGCGCTTCCGACGTCGTCGTGATAACCGCCAAGTACATGGCCTCCACTAGTCGGGTCCCGGCTTTCATCACCGCCCGCCGAATGGCGTCTCGAACGGTGTTGATGATTTGCCCCGAGAGCGGGCCGAACTGTTCGTCTTGGTCACCCGCGCCCTCATCCCTGGGATTCAACGCCAAGTTCAGCTTCATGCAGACCCCGGTGAGGGGCTCATCGCACAGAGGACCGCGATCGGTCGCCATCTGGAATCCCGTCAAAACGCTCCCTTGCGCGGCGTTGATATCGAAGTCCGTCGCGTTAAGGGTGGCCTCGTCCAACTCTTCGGGATCGTACTCTTTCCTCAGACCGAGCGAGATCGCGGCGGTAGCGTGTCCAAACTCTTTCTCATCGTCATCGACGTCGGCGGTGTACGTGCCGACGTTCAAGACGTTTGATCCCACGCGTTTTGGACCGAGGACCCAGGCGGAGCGAAACGTGTCCTCGCAAATCCCCTCTGGTCCTTGTTCGTCGTACGTCGACGCCTCGCGCGCAGCCGCGAGCTTCTCCATGAATTCTCGCGCGAGTTTCTTGTTTTCTTCCCCTTCCTCGTCCATCTTACCCTCCAGAAGCACCTTAAGTTGATCCGCGGAGTCGTCTACGACTCGAATGATGAAATTCGACATTGGTTTAACCGTACAAGAAATTGTCAGGCGACCGTTCGCCGTCGTGCTCGACGCCGTGGCGACCGAGGTCACCGTCTCGCGGAACGAAATAATCGGCGGCGATACCCTGATTGGGACCCTGGCGAAGCGCTCTCGCAGATCCGCGACACATCGCTCGAGGTGAACCTCGCCCGCGGCGGCGATGACGTGCTCGCCCGTGTCCATGAGACTCACTTCGACGAATGCGTCCGCGCGATTCAACAGCCGCAAGCCTTGTATCAAGGCGTCCATATCGGTAACATTCTCCGGCTCAATCGCCACTTTCACGATCGCCGCCGCTTGGAACATCATATCCCCGAACGGTGGGCACTCCGCGGATGAACTCAAAGTCGCGGATTTCAAAACAACGCTCTCCAAACCTCCAATGGCGAGCAGGTTTCCCGCGGGAACTTCGTCCACGGCGAACATTCCTTGGCCCATCATGAGGTAGAGTTCGTCTAGAATCACTTCCTCGATCGTCTCCGAGTCGTAATCGCTCGGATCGTGCCCCGAGTGCAAGACGAACACTTTGTCGCCCTTTTGAACGACTCCAGAGTACACGCGCGCAAAGGCGAGAAATTTCATCTCCTCTCCGCCCTGCTCGCGTTCCGCTCCTTGGACGTGCGACCGAGGGACCGCCATCATCTTACTCACGAACACAATCTTCATCGCCTCTGGAGATGAGTCGCATTCCATCACCGCGCGTCGAGCGTCGTCGACACCCGACGGACGAGCCTTTCGTAACACCGGTTGCGGGAGCACTCGATTGACACGTCTCGGAGCCGCCTCGCGCGGTCCAGGGATGCACTGGGTAATCATCTCGAGCAAACACGGCGACATCGGGAGCCACGCACGCATAACGCTCTGAAGCGCCATTCTGCGATCACTTTGTGCGAGGTCCTTCTCTGGAATGTCCACTTTGAGCGCTTTCGCGAGCGTCGCCAAATCCTTCTCCACCCACTCCCCGTTCTTTTCGCTCTCCGCCGTGGCGTAGAGCTTCCAAATCGGATCCAGTATGCACTGCACGAACAGAGGTTTGAGCTTTCCGTTCGCCACCTTACGACTCACAATTTTTCGCGTCTTCGGGTGGAAGTACCAGTCTCCCGAGAGCGCTTTCCTGAGCGCCGATTCCGAGCACCCGAGCTTTCCGGCGTACAGCTCGACGAACTCATCGGGCCTAAACGCCCATCCGTCTATCGCGCTCCCGAATGCGACGTTCCCACGCGCGACGCTAAACGCGTCCTCTTCATCGACACCATCATGCATCGACGCCTCGTCCTCTTCCAAGTAATCGCTCGTCGACGTCTCGAGGTCGTCGCCGTGTCCCGATTCCTCCCTGCGCGTTTCGTTGTGCAAAAACGTGTCCACGCGAGAGATGAACTTTTCGCTCTCGAACGCGCTCATCAACCCATTCACCTCGTGTATCAATCCCCGAATCTTCTCGTACGTTTCCAGCGGGGAATATCCCAACTCGACGATCAACCGATCGAGTTTATTGAACACCAAACACGGCTTCAACCGCTCCTCCCACGCCTGTCTCAAAACCGCGTGCGTCTGCACGCACACCCCCTCCACGACGTCCACGACGACCAAACACCCGTCCGATAACCTCGCCGCGGTCGACACTTCGCTACAGAAATCAACGTGTCCCGGTGAATCCACCAGGGTGATCAAAATCGGTGCCCTCGCGTCCTCCGCGTCCTCCGCGTCCGCGTCGCCGCGCCGCCTCGGCGTGTACAACAACGAGATCCCCGCGCTCTTCATCGTGATCCCTCGCTTTTGTTCATCCTCTAAAAAATCCATGAATCGCATCCGTCCCGCCTGTCTTCGACTGATGAATCCATTGTGCGCGATCAACCCGTCCGAGAGCGTCGTCTTCCCGTGATCGACGTGCGCCAACACGCACACGTTTCGCACATTGGTCGTCGACCGTTGTAACGCGTGTAACCGCCGCACCGCGCTCTCCATCGATGCCGCGCCCGCGAGCGAGTCTCAAACGACGCACCCGTCGTTCGTCGTCCTCGCGCCCCGTCGTCCCGCGTCGTCGTCCCGTCGGCGTCGTCCGTCGTCCCGTTCGCGTCGCGCGACGACACGGATGGGACCGATGAGACCGTGCTCGGAGTCACACACGGACCCTTTGAGGCACACACTTTTTTTTTTTCACGATCCACCCCACCGCCCGCACGGGGGGGGCTGGGGTGTGGTGTGAACCCTCGTGTGTGGGCGAACAGTCTCGTGAGGTGCCTCACCATCGCGCACGGACATCGATCGTTTCGTGTCATCGATCGTGTCCTCGGTCGTGTCATCGATCGATCATGTCATCGATCGGTCGTGTCATCGATCGATCACTCCATCGACCGTGTCATCGAGCGTTCATTCGACCGTGCACTCGAGCATGCATTCGGTCGGTCGCCGCGGTGCGTCGTCGCGGTGTGACGAAATGACGACGACGATGGGTCGACGGAGTGGAACGCGCGATGGGGCACGGACGACGCGGACGCGGACGAGACCGCGTCGACGTCTTCGTCGTCCTCGCGCTCGGTCTCGCGTCGACGTGGACGACGTGTGAGGTGCGAGGACGACGACGATGGAGGACGACGGGCACATCGTCATCATCATTCGGTCGTTGACGCCTCGCTCGAGGACTGACGGCGCGCACGCGCTTGGGCAGGGACAAACGAGATGGCAGAAAGTACACTCGTGGGGGGAGAATAGGAACGGTGAGAACGGACGAGGAGAGGTGCGTGACGATGGGCGTGGACGAACGACGGATACGCGGGCGAACGGGCGACTGACGGAGCGGCGGCGGACGCAGGTCGCGTTCAAAGGATCGTGCGCGTCCGGGGAGATCGTGGAATTGGGGTGGGATTTAGGAGGTGCGATGTGTTTGTGTTTCCGTGCGCGCGCTCTGTCTGACGCGTCGGTGGTTTCGCGATAGATTACATCAAAGGCGTGGCGAGCGGGTTGAACCACGCCGTGGCGTACACCGAGGGCGGAGCGGCGTACGCGTGGGGTAGGAATAGGTGCGGTGAACTGGGAACGGGGACGTTCGACTCGGTGACAACACCGGTGCGGATCTTGAACGACGTCAACGTCGTGGACGTCGCAGTGGGGGCAGAACACACGCTCGCGCTCGCGAGCGACGGGCGTCTGTACGCGTTCGGGTGCAACGCCAGAGGGGCGCTCGGGATCGGGAGCGGCGATTTAGGTCGATTCTCCACGCCGCAGGCGGTGACTTCGCCGGAGACGTTCGTCGCGATCGCGGCTGCGGGGGCACACAGCGTGGGATTGACCGCGGGTGGGGGCGTGTACACGTGGGGGGCGAACAACCAAGGACAGCTCGGTGCGTGTGAAGACTCGAGAAGAACCGACCGAGGACTGAGCGAACCGAGGGCGTTGAAAGAAAGTTCGCAGACTGAATGTGAGAGGATATTTCGCGAGCGCAGGTCACGGTGGATGCATTTTCCCGGGCGGTCCGGGGAACGATCCGTGTCTAAATGACTTGCACACGGTGCGCGCGGAGTCAAAATAATTTTCCACAGTTATTAATTTATTATTTCCACGCAGCCGACAAAGGTGCGGATAACGAGCACGGGTGAGGTTTTGCCGCCTGTTAAATTAATAACGGCGGGGGGAGGTGAGGTCGCGGGCGATGAACACGGTACAAAGGGCGGACACACCGTCGTCGTGACCACATCGGACGTCGTCTTCGCGTGGGGAGATAATTCGGCGGGACAACTCGGTGAGCCTCACTCTCGATCGCTCTGCGCGCGATTCTCACTCCTCCGCAGGTATAAGGCAGGTGTACGCGAACGCATCGGACGCGACGTACGGAAACAACACTCTTAGCTACACGCACAACAAGGTGAGCGTCATTTTTACTCGGCGTTGAGATGATTAAATTAATTAATTAATTCGCAGTACGACAGCACGACGGGATTGTACTACAACCGTCACGAATTACCGACGGCGATCGAGCCGCACGCCATCGTCGTCGCGGCGGGTACGGAGATAGAAATTAGCAAGCGGGGTCTCCCAGCCATCAAGCAGATCGCGGCGGGAAACGCGCATACCGTCATGCTCCTCGTGACGGGCGAATTATTTACTTGGGGAGACAACTATTACGGCCAGCTCGGGCTCGGATACGCCTCGCGTGATAACACGCCGCAAAAGTTCTACATCTCGCGGAATTATCGCGAGCCACAGATGATCGACGCGCCGAAACGGATCACGAAATTCGACTACGCGAGCAACGAGACGGATCCGATTACTTCACAATTAATTAACATAACCGTCACGGGGTGCGTAATCCGACGAGTTAGTGGTCGAAAATCTCGTCACGCTTTCACTGAGACTAACCAATGACGCGCGCAGGAGAATCAAGGAGGAGAACGACACGATGTTTACGAAGGTGCGAAAAATAAATTGAAGAAAAATAATTTATTATTAATTTTTTGTGGTGATGCGAGGACTGACCACTGGGCGCGCTCGTGCGTTGAGATAGATATCTGCGGGAGGTGACGTGTCTTTGGCGCTCACAGCGAACGAAAAAATTTTCGTCTGGTGCGTCGGGTGAGCGATCGATCGGGTCTGGACACTGACTTACCTCGCGTGACGCAGGGGCAATAACGCGGACGGGCAGCTCGGCACGTGCGGGTGCGGATCATGCGCCCTGTACGGTGCAGCAGATGTTCAAAAGGCGTGCACGAAAGAAACTGTAAATAGCTCATGTCCTTGCAGTTGCGGCGGTCTGGGAACATGTGTGTACGAGGCAGCGTCTGCCTCAAACAACTTCAAGGCGAAAAACGAAGGCAAGTGTGTCGATTTCGATGGTACGCCCGCGTGCGATTGCTCATCGAATGCAGTCGAACGGACGTACTTGAATGACCAAGGGAAAGAAGAGATACGGTACGGGGTGCAAGGGACGATTGAACTCATGGACGAACCCATATTGTCGAGCTTACTGTTTGAGAAGTCGTTCACAAAGGTGAAGTACGCAAGCGCGGGCGGCGGCTCAATTTACGCCGTCACGGAGTCTGTGTGCAAGGATGACGTGAATGGTGTCGTGTGCTCCGGGCGGGGTAAATGTTTGCCCGACGGTTCGTGTCAATGCGATGAGGGCGCGGGTGGTGTGACGTGCGAAAACGTATGTCCCAAAGCCACTCAGGACGACGCGGACGCGCTCAGAAACAACGGCCTCGAAGAGGACGTCACCAACGCGGTCTGCTCCAACCACGGCACTTGCAACGCCGTCACCGCCGCGTGCGAATGCGACGAGCAATTCTTCGGCCCGAAGTGCTCGTACATATGTGCTCGGAATAGTAACGGCGACGTGTGCTCTGGAAACGGAACGTGCGTCTTCGACGCAGCCGTCTCGCAGTATCCGTACTGCGAGTGCGATCGATTCCAGGACCAAGGCGCGTGTCAGGCGAGAGGTTTACAAATGTACCCCGAGGGCTGGTGTTCGTTTCACGGCGGTGAAGAATTCGGCGGGTTCGCCAGTTGCTACGCCACCGGCGCGTGCGGAAACTGCGACTCGCCCGCCGGCGCGGTCTCCGTCGTCCTCTCCCTCCTCATCGTCTTCGTCGTCACCGCGCTCGCCACTTCGCCTTGAATTCAATTTAAATCCATCATCATCACCCGCGATCGAAAAAAATGATCCGCTCGACGCGCCACCGAGTGCCCTCCGACCCCGACTCCTCGCGCGCGCTCGGTCGGAATCCACCACACCAGCCCTCGGGTCGCTCGTTTTTTCAATCGCCGTGTCTTTCCCATTCCGCGCCCCGCACACGCCGACGCTTCGCGCGCGCTCGATCGAATCGAAGACGACGACGCGAGGGACACGCGCTCGCGCGGTCGTCGACGCGCGCGGACGCGATGCGGAGCGCGTCGCGCGCGGGGGGACGACTCGATTCACCGAGCTCGAGTGGAATTCCACTGAACTCGCACGCATCGCCCGTGAACGCGACGGAGAGGGCTCTGTTCGACGAATCGTCGAGGAGCGGGACGTCGAACTCGATCAGGAAGCCGCGCGCGGGGACGGGCGGACTGACGTCGGGAGGCGGGAACGCGCTCGGCGGAGGCGGACCGAGCGGCGCGAACGGGAAAGAACTCGAGTTACAGGCGACGACGTGCGATGAATTGGCGAGAGTGATCGAGAGCCGGAAGGGTTCGCGAGAGGCGAGCACGCTGAGCGAGGCGCTGAGGACGTTCGACGTCGTGGAGAGCGTGTTGAGACGGAATAGGGAAAACTTGAGGGAGTTTTTTAGCGCGTGTTTCCAACCCGTTCTGTGGAGGGCGTTCTCTTTCGACGGTTACGCCTCCGAGGGCTGGTTCAACGCCGCGTTTCACGGTGACGAGAAGCGGGTGCGAGAGTTTTTGAGCTTTTTCTCCCCGGAGAGCTCGTTCATGAGAGCGATGCGAGCGGCGGACGCCGATCGGTTGGTGCAGTTTGCGTTTCCGCTCGAACGACTGCCGGAGCGGACGCAGCGCATGTTGCAGACCGAGAGCGGGGCGGCGGCGCTGAATAGGGCTCCGCCGTACGCTGGGTGCGTGAAGCGAGACAGTGCGGGGAAGTATCAGGTGCACTTGGGGCTATACGATTACTTCATATTTTGGCTCGCGTACTTTTCGATGCGTCCAGGTGGGGGCGGCAGAGGATCGGTGACCTACGGACGCTCCACCGCGCCGTCGTCGTCACCGTTCAAGAGCGATCGTGGTTACGGTGCGTCGTCCAGCGGCACGTTTTTGAGCGGACAGTGGCCTACGACGCCACTCATGTCTCGCTCGTCGAGCGCTCAAGTGCACCCGTACCACGAGCTCTTGCTCGCACATCTCAGCTACTTCCTCCCGCGCGAGGCGGCGTCGAGTAAAACTTGGAGCAAAGGCACGAACGATTCCACGGGGGCGAACTCGCGACAAGGAGAGGTTTTGGTGAGCATCTTGGCTGAGTTTTGGATGCCCGTCGAGGAGGCGCAGTCGTCGGATGTCGCCAGGCACGCGAGCTCGCCGTTCCGAAGCTTCAATTCGATGGGTCGAGTCGTCGACGCGGCGATGAGAAATGTCGGGATGACTCCACCGCGATCGAGTGAGCGCACGCTCACTCGGCATTACTCGTACAATCCGCCGGCGACGGAGCACGTCAACGCGGTGTCGCTCTTGGTGACGTATTTGTTTGCCGAACTCTCGGATCGCCGAAAAGAGAACGCAGATGCGATGAAAGTGATCGATCGGGCGCGAGAACTTATTCAGAGACCGCTCTATGGATTTTTACGTGAGGCTTTTACGCAATGGCCGACGGAGAGCTCCACGAACCTGTCACCAATCGTGACGCTCTGGGTGTGCTACTGCGCGCCGTGGTGCGCCAAGCACCCGGAGAGCCAGCTAAAGAAGTCATCGACGCGAAGCAGTTCTCCACGAGCACTTCTGTCGTCTCCACTGAAGTCACCCCTCATGTCGTCCGATCGTGGTGCTTCGATATCGGCGAAATATGACGATTTCTTGCTACCAAGTGGGAAGGGGTTCAAGTTTGACGACGACGTCGTGGACACCCCCGGGCGTTTCTCGCACGTTCGTCACGTCTTGAAGAGCATTCCGTTTTACCACGAGTTGATGAAACACTTTTTAGAGCTATGCTGCAAGCGCGTGCCGCTCGATGCGGAGGGAACGGCTATGGCCCTGCGTGTCGTTTTGGAGCCGCTCGCGGCATCATCGAAACTGCTTCAAATCCTTCAAGACGTCGAGGACGGCTACGCCGAGTTTGTGCTCGATCCGTTCAAGGGAACGCTCAAAACGATGCATGCGCGGGAAGAGGTCGCGGCGAACGCGGAGTCGTACTATCCGCTCATCCGCACGCAGCTTCAGGCTTGGGAGCCGGATGTTGAAACACCATCGCTTGGTGATTCCTTGCCCGGCACGCCCAGCGCCACTAAGAACTCGCCCTTGAGTAAATGGCACGGTGCCGCGGCGCGCTTGATGGCAAACCGAGAGAGTGAGATGGACAAGGCGAAGAGTGGGTCGAAGCACTTGCGCATGTTCACACCGGAGACGGATGGGTTGGCTCAGGTTGCAATTGCCCTCATCCACCGCCTTGAGCGAGACGCGACGCAAGTACCCATGACGCACGTACTTCGCAAGCACGTGCCGCGGTTTCGAACGGCTGCGTTCACGGTGTTCCGACTGGAGAGATTTCGCGATACGCCGTACCTCAAGAGCCCGACAGCGGCGGCGTACGTGGACGCCGACGCCAGCGAGCGCCGAAACGGCTGGGCGTCCGGTCGCACGAGCGCCAAGGAAATGTACAGGGGCGATTGGATCCATCGACCAGTCGGGGCGAATGAAATCACACTCTTCGTACGACTTTTGGTCCCGCTCTCCGTGTATCTGAACAAAAAGATGGGGCTTGACGGTGTGGCGACACTCAAGCGCAAATTGACCATGGCGGACGCGCGCGACGCAGTGAGCGAGTCTTGGATCGCTGCGCGTCGCGTGAGACGAGAAAACGCCGCGTTAGAGTACGTAATCCCCATACTTGCAGTGATTCAGGCGCTGACGCTCGGAATGTGTCGAAAGAAGGGCATCACAGTGAACCTTCGCCCGCTCGCCGAATACCAAATGCTCGTGCTCATCTTTGCGTTTCGGCTCTTGATACGATTCTTCGGAGCTCTTTTCGCTTAATACGTACGATGAACGATGACGACGATGTTTCGATAGAGATTCTAAACGACTGAAATACAACAACTAGCTCACCTACTAACCTAGGACGAAGACGTCTTCGGTTTCTTCCAAAACTGGACGCGCTTCCAGAATGAGTCGCCACTGGCGTTTGCGGACTCGCTCGGGGGCGGCGGGGGCACGTATCGCGCCGACGTTTCGGCGTAAAACAAGCTGACGAGCTCTCTGAGACCTAGAGTGAACAGAAAGCTCATGGACAAACCGCACACGAGCAGGGCCATTGTGGCGAAGCGCTCGACGGGTGTGCCCATGACCCACACGCGATCGAACGCGGCCCCGTTGATGAACCCAGATAACGCGTCCGCCGTGGCGACGGTCCCCGTCACCGGATCCAACGGTGGTAACATTACCTTTGGAAGCGTCGGAACGAGTAAGAGGAAGATTCCGATCACCCCACCCACCAGGACGGATGCGACGACGGAGCACAGGAAAGCTGTCCGAAGCAAGAGCAAACGGTAGCCGTACATGAGCTCCTGCGACCGCTTCAGCGCCTCCTTCGGCGACTTCTCCCTCTCATTAATCACCACAGCGCCAGCGATGGCGAAATCGAGCATGCGAATGACGCCAAGGTAGGGAATTGGGATCGTGATCAACGAGTTCCACGCGAGCGAGAGCGTGCGCCTGAAATCGCACGCGAGCAACCGCGCGAGCGACGATTTCGCCGCCTTTAAAATATCCCACGCCTCCCCGAACGTCACGAGCGAAAACTTAAACGTCGAGGATGACAAATTCGTCGATCCCACCGCGCGCTCGAGCACGGCGACGCGTACGAACGTGGCGCACGCGAATTTCCAAACCGCCACGCCCGCGCCGAAAACCGCCGCCACGACGGGCACGGTGTGCACCCTAAAAAACGCCAACACGAACGTCCCGCCCAAATTCACGCTCTGCGCCCAAATCCCAGCCGCGAGGGACAAAACGAGCGCCATCGGGACGTCCCGCACCGTCGACTCGATCGTTCGAAGCGTCATCGCCGCCGCGGTGAGCCGCGTCTCCGCGTCGACGTTCTCTTCAATCCCCTCCACCCCACCCCCCGTGGATTACATGTTTGATGTTTTGGGTGTCGTCGACGCCGGTGGGATCGCGCTCGGGATGACATCGACGTGTGCGCACGCCGTTGGGGTTCGTTCGGGGGAATGCGAGCACTCGCGGGCGTGCGAGACGTGTGGGACGACGTCAGAGCTTTGGGCGTGCGGCGCCTGCGGGAAGAGCTTTTGCGGGCGGTACCAAAACGCGTGCGCAAAGAAACACGCCTCAGAGAGCGCTCACGACGTGTGCGTGAGCTGGGACGACATGAGCTGCTGGTGCTATGCGTGTGAGACGTACGTGGACCCATCATCGTTCGAGAACGTCGCTGAGCGCG